TTCTTTTTTTTTTTTTTTTTTTTTTTTTTTTTTGGCATTTCGTGAACGAATATTGGGAATATTTGTTCCACGACTGTGCTAGCTGCCGCTTGCTGCTTCGCATCAAATACTGCAAGAGATGTGCTTTGCTGTTTGTGGCTGTGATATCTGTGGCATGGATTGTACCATCAGCACTGGGCTCTGCTGTACCGGGAGCGAGCTTTGCTGTCCAGGCCGATGATCGGTCCGGTCGTTTGGTTCACACCAGCAGCCTCCTTGACACCGTCGAGTAGAGTCTCGAAAACGGGTAGATTACCATATCGCGCAACGATCATAAGCGGTTTCAGGCCATTCTCTAGAAAAGTCGTACTCGCTGTGTATTTAAACCAATGTTTCAGCCACGACTTTTGCGACTTTGAAGATGGCGCTTGGTCCGCTTTGAGCATGCCCGCCGTAGTGCAGGGCCACGATGATTCTGGTAGAGGCGCCGTGCAAGATCTTCCTTGACTTTGTTACATGTTCTCACAAGGTTGTTGAGGTCTGCAGCTGGCATCAAACTCGGCCATATTCCAAAACATTCCGAGAGCGAGGTCTAGCAGCGCTTACTTTTGCGAATGTCAGCTTTCAGGTTACAATGAACGTAGACAGCTCAGGAGCGGTGCAAATTCATTTTTGGGGTCACAGAAGACGTGTCCATCGGTACTGCATTGGTATCTCCGGAGTTGTTGCCTGCATTGTTTGTTTGCGTGCTTTCAGAATCCTCGTCGTCAGAGCCCTCTGAGCCGGTTATCTCGCGCTGATTCCGCCTGGTTCCACCGACTCGCGTAGCAACGCCTGCGTTTGAGGTCGGCCGACTTCACTATTAGAGATTTTAATCTTTAATATAATTGCTACTAACTATGATGCACTTATGCTTGAGAATATAGGAATGATGATATACTCTCCATGTCCTAGGTAGCTAAGTCTCTGTGTGTGTGTGGAGCTAATCTATGCCACTGTGCTATGTGGCAGGTGACACTGTAAGTATTGGAAACTTCTAATGCAAACACCGCCCTGCGCCGCTTTATTCCTCGAGTCACTCCCAATATACTCTCTACACCAACTACACCGTAATAATGTGCCAGCATGACCAGGTTGCCGACGACAGCAACCATGGCTCTCCCCAGCCCTCGGACGATTTTCCCTGGCATCTCGGCGCGTACGACGCACACTGCCACCCAACCGACACCATGGCTTCGATCGACAACCTCGCCCGCATGCGCACATCCGTCTTGACAATCATGGCCACGAGATCGCAGGACCAAGACCTCGTCGCCGAGGTGGCCGCCTCGCACGGCCTCGCCAACACCGCCACCACCAGTACGGACCTCCCAGACGCCACCGGCGCCAGCAAAGTCGTCCCGGCGTTTGCATGGCATCCCTGGTTCTCGCACCAGCTCTACGACGACTCTGACTCTGCCGCGGAGCCAACAACCTACCACCAGCCCGTCGACGGCGCATCTTCCCCGTCTGAAGCCAAGAGAGCTCACTACCGCGCCGTGCTGCAGCCGCCGCCCGACGACGCCTTTATTGACAGCCTCCCGGACCCCGTGCCCATCTCCGCCTTCATCGCCGCCACCGCCGCACGGCTCGAGGCGTATCCCCTCGCCCTCGTTGGCGAAGCGGGCCTCGACAAGGCCTTTCGTCTGCCCGAGCCGTGGTCAGAGGCCGACGACAACGACGTCGCTCTCCGCGACGACGACGCCGCCGCCGCCACCCCCGGCGGTCGCCAGGGTCGCCGCCTGAGCCCGCACCGCGTGCGCATGTCCCACCAGCAGGCCGTGCTCACCGCACAGCTCGCGCTCGCGGGTCGTCTCGGCCGGGCCGTCAGTCTTCACGGCGTCCAGGCGCACGGCGTATTATATGACACGGTTGCGCGGTGCTGGGCCGGCCGCGAGTTACCGTCGCGGCGCGAGAAGAAGCTTGTCGCGCCCGGTGCCGAAGACTTTTCCAGCAGCAGCAGCGAGGAAGAAGAAGAAGACGACGAATCGCTACCGCAGGGGATCAAGGCACTGAATCTCGGACACAAGCAGACGAAAAAGGAGACGGGCAAGCCATACCCGCCGCGCATATGCCTGCACTCCTTTTCAGGCAGCGCCAGCACGCTGGCGCAGTGGATGCGGCGCAACGTCCCTGCGGCCGTGTACGTGTCCTTTTCCGCGGCCATTAACCTGTCGACGGAGACGTCGTCGTCGTCGAGTCGCGGCAAGACGGACGAGGTGATTCGAGCGGTGCCCGACGACAGATTGCTGGTGGAAAGCGATTTGCACAAGGCGGGGGATGAAATGGACGGCATGCTCGAGGTCATGTATCGACACGTGTGCGAGGTCAAAGGCTGGGAGCTGGAGGATGGCGTGGCGAGGATACGCAAGAATTACGAGAGATTTATATTTGGTTGATGTGAAAAAAAAAAAAAAAAACGGGGATTTTGCATGACGCTGCTATATCAAATTGGCACAGAGGGCTCTCTTTGATTTAAACGACTTTTGCATTACGATTCATGATGATGATAATGACGATGCTATAACTACTATAATAAAATGACCCCCCCCCAAAGGGTTGTATAAAATGCCAAAAGAACAAAGAAAATAAAACAACAATCTAAAGTGGTATACCTTTGATTCATTCATTACAGCGAATGCTCCCTCTCATCCACACGCTCATACGCCGGCGGCGCCTCGTCCTGCCCCGCCGCCTCCACGGCGACCAAATCGCTCACAACCTCTGCCGCCGCTCGCAATTCCGAAAAAGTATCCGCCACCGTTCCTGTCGTGGTCGTGGTTGTCGTCATCGTCTCACTGCGTGCCGCCGCCGCCTTATCGTCGCTGTCGTCGTCACTATAACCAGGGTAGCTGGTCTCGTCGGCGGGGCCATCCACAAAGGCAAATGAGATGAGTGTCTTGGGCTCGTCAAAGTAGCGGGCGTTTTGATACAGGGGCAGATCGCTGGATGTGCTTGTTGAGCGGCTGTGGGTGAGGCGTCGCAGCAAGGCAGTGAAGCAAAAGACGGCGGTGCCAAAGACAAAGGCAGTCTCGGCGACTAGCAGCAGCATGCGTCGGCGAGTCTAGATTTGATCCAATCGTTAGTAAGATAAGCTCCTTTTTTCGTGTCTTCAACGAGCATGCCAACGTACAGAGTTGTATTCAGCCGCCATCATGTCCTCCTCGTAGGTGGAGTAGAAACCCTCCTCGGAGACCATCTCCATCCACTCCTCATTATCCATGCCAAAGTCGTCGTCAAAGTCGTTGTCCTCTTCCCACCATTGATGCTCATCCTCCGCCTCGTCCGAGGCGCAACCAAACACGGCGCGCCAGCCGCTCGCGCTCTTGCACACCCCGTCGTGGCTGTGTCTGAACGGGTAGGCCAGGGCCTTGAACGCGCAGCGCACGTCGCGACATTCGCTGAGCGGCGTGGGCGCGCGGTCCTCCTCAACTCTGATCCCCTGCTTCATCCCGTCTGCTGAAATGGCGGCCTTTTGATGGCGGATGAGTGCCGCGAGCTCGCGCGCTTGGCTGCGGAGGTCCATGAGCCGCGATACCTGCTCCTCAAAGGTGCCAACAACGACGCCGTCACCGGGAGGACCATCATCACCGTGGGAGTGCTCGTCGCCGCTCTGGTCCAGGGACTCGGTGACGGTCGTGTGCAGGTGCAGGTAGCGGACGCTGGCGACGCGCTCGACGCTGGCAATCTGCACGGGCGTTGTCTGGTAAAAGTGGGCGATCAAGGAGGCGTCATGGCCGTCGGCGTCGCTGACGGGGCTGCTGTTGACAGAGAGCACGTGAATGGTGAGTGCCTGCTTGAGCGACTCGCACGTAAAGGTCCAGTTGGCGGTGATGCTGAGATCCTGGTCGAGGGCCAGCGCGCCGTGGCCGAAGCCGTCGGCGTCCTGAGTAAGGCGCTGGCCGTTGACGCGGACGTTTGCCGGGGAGCAGGGCTCCTCGGCTTCGGCGAGATCAAGACGGAAAGGCTGATGAGGATGATTGTTAGGCTGATTGAGCAGTGTCGAGGGCGAGACTGTTACTCACGACAACTTGTGTTTCCGCATCCTCCACCGACACGTTCAATGTAATATATGCAGTAGGGACCGTTTCTATCCATGGTTAGATTTCTGTCCATACTCCAGCCCTTCATCAAGCTTTTGAAGAGAAAATAGACCTACCAGTGGCGGAAACCCTGCGGCCGGACACAGGCATGGACTCGCCAACGACAGACTTCACAAGCAGCAGAGCTGCTGCCTTGGTCCAGGCCCGCATTTTCTTTTTTTTCGACGAAGAGACGTAGAAAAAGGTGTGAAGTAGGCCGTCAGCCCGTACTGCGTCGTCTAGATGGAGTCGTTTGCGCAGGACACGTCAACTCTTCTTGGTGGCTTACTAGGCAGCTGCCAAACGGTTTTTCCTTGGCGCCACTTGTCGTCGGCTGATCTTGTTGTGTGATTGGGTAGAGCGAGTGCCGCGAGGAGAAAATGAAAAGAAGTAAAAAAAAAATGGATTTCCAGGTCCAAGACGGGAACAATCAATCAATCAATTAAAAAGCAAGGCTGTCGTCGAGGAAGAATTACACAGTGCCACTCGAGAAGTACCGTTTGTAAAAGAGGGAGTGAGGAAGGGTGAGCGGACGAGGCGGCACCTATACGCAGTCAAACACAAGGGAACAAACAGCCGACTTACACCGTTGACATATTACGTTAGTCGGTTAGAGGCCCCGTGGCCCTTGGGCGAATAGCAGTCCCAGCAGCAACTGGGTCTGGAAATGGGACTACTACAAGGCTGTGCCGGGGCCGAACCCATCGGCCTATGTCGTGTCGCTCAGGGTTTGGTTTTAAGAGACAGGGATGTCTCCATCAGGTGGTGCAAAAGTCCCTACAAATCAATCTCTCTCTGGACAGTTGGTCATGCTTGCTCCTTCTTTTTTTTTTTTTGTCTCCCCTTCCCTTGCCCCCAAAGTCATGACTTGTGGGCAGTCGCTGCGGTGCCATTAATTTGGTTGCATAACAGGACAACCCTCATACGCAAGAGATGGCTAGATTAAATCAGAGATAAAAGAAGTTGGGTCGGCCAACTCAATTTGGCTGCGGTGATTGAGCAGGAACAAAAGATACCGGAGACCAGTCCCGGAGACACGAAAATCACTAGTTGGGATTGATATCGAACTATTTAATCCACACATTTACATGGAGTGGTGACGCAAGTCGCCTTGCCCAAGACGGGCTGGATCGTCCCACTCCTACTCCTCCTCTGGGACCCCCCCCCCCCCCCCCCTCGTGGGGGACACACCAGACCGCGCTCCGAGTCAGAAGGCTCACTTTTGACCAGCAACAGCAGTGATCTCGAATCAGTATGGTTTCGGCACCGACATATCTGCAACATCTTGGTAGCTACGAAACTAAAGCGTTTTTATTTCCTCATTTTCAAACCTCGTTCTGGCAGGTGTTGAAGCTCATCGACAGTTTGTTTCGCCCCCTGCGAAAAAAAGAAGTCTGATCAACGTTTTTACTTTCCCTCTCAGGGCTGATCTTTCTGGCTGGCCGCGACGTTTCCTCGGGCACTCGGGTCCCGGGACGCGCCTCGTAAGGCGGCGCAGCAGCAGCAGCACAGCTATTTTAGCGACCCTACAGCGAAATTATCATTCCCTGTGCCTTTGCACCATTTGTATGTACCCCTTCCGGGCCCCTCTTTGCCCTGCTACTTCCCCCCACTCTTACGAGATTCCAAACAGATAATAGCCCGCCGCAGACACCCCGGTCGAGGTCCGTGTTCTCGGCATCTGCAAAAGAAAAAGCTTGTCCTGCAGTATTACCTACTTTAGTAAGTTAGCCCGTTGCCGCCATTCGTTGTTATTGTACTGGTGATTCTGGTAACTGCTGCTGCAATCGACAAGGCAGACGCGCGGCCACTTGTCTTGGCAGCCATTGATCTCCATGCTGTCCCATCCCTCCCCCCCCTTCCCCCCCCTATCGGTTATTGTTTGTGGATTGCTTTCTTATTACCAACTGATGCAAACCATTGATGCCGGAAATAAGAAAAAAAAGGCTGACGAGGCCTTTGAACGCTTCGGCGAGTAAGTTGACACTTGAACCCTGGCCAAAATGAAAAATAATAGGGTAATAGAAGCCCCATCTAGCATTGCCGCCCCTCCCCATGTCTTGAAATTACAGTACACAATCTGACTCTTCGCCCATCCCGGCTGTCAAGCCTCGTGTTCACTGTTTCACTGTTGGCCTAGGTGGCATAACGTCGGCTTCTCGACGGAATTAAAATGCGCCCATGAGATTGATTCTCTTTACCCCTTCTTGCTTGGACTGACATAGTAATATCTTTTGGCCCCGAAAATCGTCGCTTTAATCTCGCATCGGAGATCCCGCAGCATCCATTACATAATTACAGAGCGAGAGAAAACCTCGTTTCATGGTGCTATTTTCAGATGCTGTGCGCAACAACATGGAACTAGTTACTGGAGGTCTGGACAGGGCAATCTGCCCGCCCTGGTATACATACACCCACGTTGCACGACCACATCTCCTGCGAGCCGTGCAACCTTGAATGGTCTTTTCTCGCACCTAATTTAAGCAGCAAAGCACACGACCACCAGTCCACCAGCGCACCACCACGCCAACCCCGCACAGGGTTCGAGCTTCTCTCTCTATCTCTCTGTCTCTCTCTGCCTCGCGGCAATACCGTAGTAATAATAGCATACATATCCCGGTGTATTTGCCTTGTCGGTCGGGTTTCAGTTCATGCTTCCCAAACTCTACTTACTACCCATCTATTACTAAAACTTATTATTAGTCTGCGAAATCGGTTCAGCAACATGCTCCTTGGCGGCGGCCTCCCACGGTAAAGAGGAAAAAAAAAAGCAAATCTAAAAAGGTCGGCTAGCTATTGTGGCTGCTGCTTTGCTGCTTGTTCCACAGCCAAAACGTGCTCTGCTCATTCTCAGCCCCTTTGCATTACATACAGCCGTGCACTGGCATCCGCCCAAAAAGGACACAAGACTCGAGGCAGCCAAATAAAAAAAATATAATAATGATAAGATTGATTATGATAATCATAAATAATAACAACGACAATATTTGCATCATTAGCTAATTATTCTTCTTTTACCGCGCAGCCACACAATCCCCCCCCCTTGTTACCTAGCCACAGCTTTTTTCAAGGAGTGCCAAGCACCGCTGCGCAAGGGCTCGGCTGGCGGCCGATCAGGCGCTCAGCTGAAGAAGCTTATTTTTTTTTATTTTTTTTAACAAGTCATGAAGCCACATAATTGCGCTGCGCTGCGCGGTGAGCTAGAACAGCATGGGGCGCAGTCGGCCACGCCGTCCAACCCGCTGCCATGTGTTTACAGTTCCGGTTCATCTGCGCTGGCGCCTCCCACAGTTCTAGACCTCCGAGTGTTCAATGGTTTGTACCTATTACCGCCCACGTGCTTTCGACAAAGAGCACACATTCCACTGCATGAAATGGCTCAGCTGTGGCTGGCGCATCAACCCACTATGAAAAGTAAAAGGACCAAGATGAAGAAAAGAAAAAGTCAAAAGAAGAGGATTCGTCATGGAAACTAAGATTTCCATCGCTTGTTCATTGCAAGCGGGTAAAAGAATATTGGCTAAAATATGCAATTTGCCCAATGGCTTACACGCGATGCGTGCTGACAAGTGCCTACTGCACTCAACCCATCAACCCCATAACCCAAGCAACCTGTTAAACATAGCGCCGACGCTTCAAGTAGATGCAAAAAAAATGCGAGCCAAAACAAAGTGTACAAAAATAGATAAAAAAATGAATCGCTTTTCAAACGTCGAAATTTGTACAAAGCACCGCGTCCTCACTCGACCGTCAAGTAGGCGCTGAGAACCTCGATGCGCGTGTGGGCCACCTCTGAATCTTCAATCATGAGCTCCAAAATTTCAATCATGCGAGCTGGGCAATCGTTAGCACATCATCCTACACTAGTTTTTTGACATGTACGTACTGATATCGGCTCTGGCCCGTACAAAGAGCGGATCCCTCGCGAGCATCTCCTTGCCACCAGGCTCGCGGAGCGCCTCGCGCAGCACGTTGCCGATGCAAACAGCTTCGAGAAAGGCCCGGTGGTTAAAGACCCACCACACGCGCGCCTCGGATTCGAGCAGCGAAAAGAGCATAAAGAATGCGCTAATGGCATCGTGCGCCGCCTCGAGCGTGCCACGGATATTGACCGGAACGTCGGAGCTCTCTGAGGCATGCACCAACATGAGGTTGTGAAAGTAGTTGCTGGTAAGGAAGAGCGTCTGGCGCACGACGCGCTTGTTGGTCTGTGCCATGCCCGTCAGGCTGTCGGCATCCCAAGACCGGAACACGTCTGGAAATGATCGGTAAACTGCGCGAAAGTCGGCGACCAGCTTAGACTTGTTGCGACCCGTGCTGCATATCGGCAGGTCGAGAGAGCGCGGCGAGCAAATAGTTTCCTGAACAAGGTTGGCTAGTGTCCACGAGCCCCTAACGTAGGCGGTATCAGTCGGATCGCTGCTCGCAATGGAGCTTCCGTGGTCATTGAGGTCATCTACAGAAACATCGGTATGCGTGGCCGAAGGAGGCAGAGAAAGGAGCACAGTCAGGAAGGTGTCTTGAAGCAACACCGCCTGCCATACTTTGCGCCGCTGCTGCTTTTCGAACGGGCTTGCGTCAGGAGTCACTAAAGAAGAGGTTAGACTAGCAACACTGCCGTAGCGCATAGTGCATCTTACCAATGTTAGGATCGCGGTGCAGACCCATGGCGTAGGCTTGGCGGATAAGAATGCCTGCAAAGGCCCAACCGTCCGAGGCGTGATTGTCATTGATGAGAAAGTACGTCATCAGAACCATGGCCTGAATGGATCGCAGGGAAGCAATGCTGAGATACGAGGACATGCGCAGAGCCTGGTTGCTGGCCGAAGCATAAAACTCAGCCTGCTGTTTGCGCTCCTTGGCTGTCGTGGAAGTGACAAATTGAGTTCCCAAAGCAATCATGACAAAGATTTGCGCAATATAGGCCGCATCCATCTCTTGCTTTTGCTGGTCACTCATGCGCCAGAACTCCTCGTAGTCTGCGTAAAAAGTAAGGCGGTGGATCATTGGGTAGACAGGGTCGACACATTCGAAATAGCGGTTGATCAGACTGTCTGCTTGTGGCTTCTCGGGAAGCACCGAGATGACCTCCTTCAGGCCGCCTTCGCAAGTCCAGTAATTTGCGAACGGGTGCTCGGAGCCAATGCCAAAGACGTTGCTAGATGATGACTTGGAGTAGGGAACGTTGGACATGAGGCCGGTGGAAAGAGCCAGGGCACCGCGCGAAGGGCTGTCGCCCGTGGCAGCGTATCTATCTGCAATGTTGGGAATATTTGTTCTGCCTTCGACACCTGGCTTCTTTTTAGGTGCCTTGGTCATGCGTCGGCCAGTAGAGGCGGATCGAGTGGTTTCCCTACGCCAGGTTAGAGACAGCCGGCACAGGCGCATAAGACATTCAACATACTCTAGTAAGTTGGCAACATGAGCATATCTGCATTCAGTTTGTCTCTTGATGCCTTGCTGTGGGTTAGTTTCGTGGCAAGGCAAACATAATTTCGGTTCACCACTTACAAGCTAGACAGTGAGGACGACCACGGTCACACTGACATGACAATTAGCGTGGGATCGCGATAGGGATTGAAGCGCACATAATTACCTTGGTCTTTCGTTCTACGCATTCGTGGCAAGAGAGCGTGGGCTTGTTGCGCTTCTGCTTCTTCTTCGGAGGGCCATCGCCGGTAAAGTTTTCAGTCTCGTCGTGAAATTCCCTCCTGTCATCATGGTAGTCTCTCCTCTCATCAGAGTAATCACGCCTGTCGTGGGGCGACTGCATGGGAGATGGTGCATGCCCATGATAAGAAGCACTGTGGTGATGTAACGAGAGGTGGCTAATACCAGGCGGTGATGCGGTAGAATGGGCGTTGTTGCCGCTGGCCAGCCTGTCGTGGCCGGGACTGCGCAAAATAGGCGCAGGCGGCGGTGGGGGAGGATGCTGGATACGCGCATGGCGGTGATCTGGGGAACCGAGATAAGACAGCGGCGCCAAACGACCTGCCTGCTGAGCAATGGCAATGGGCGGCGGTAAATGACGGGGAGGAGCGTTCATGACAGGCGTAAATAGGTGCGATGAAGCCGCGTTTGGGGATGGACAAGAGAGGTCTGATGAGCTGGGTTGCACGGTCGCGAGACAGCCCACCTCTTGGGGGCCAAAGGCGGAAGAGAGCCGGACTATCGAGTTGGGCAAAAAAATTTGTCAAAGAAAGTACCGTTTGACGGGAGACAAGCAGGAGAGGATAATGGAAGAAAAAAAAAAGGGTGCGGGTGATGGTAGAAGGGGGTTGGCTGGTGGTTGAGGTGAAGAGAGTCGCGGCAGAGTGTAGAGTAATCTGCGGGTGGTGGCTGCGCGAGGCCGTTGAGGAATCTGGAGACGTTTTCTCTTCCTACCTGGCTCTGTGGCGCCACCCCGGTTGTTGGTATACCAGGGGCCACAAAAAAGAAGACTGGTAAAGGAAAGCAGGGCGAGCAGAAGAAGAGAGGAGGGAAAGGGGAGGACGGGGACGAGGATGGGGACGAGGATGGGGACGAGGACGACGAGGACGACGAGGTAGTGGTGGGAAGAGAGACCGGAAATAAAAAGGGCTTGGAGGGTTACGCGCGATGGGTGGAAAGGAACGAGTAATATTAGCATCGAGAGGAGGTGGGAATAATTTAGATGGGGGAAGAAGCGGATGGGAATAAGCAGAGGGTAGAGGATGGAGGAAGACTTGCAGGCATAGGAGGCGTGCAAGCGTGCAAAGCGTGGGAAGCATGCGAGAGGCAAAGAGGCAAATAGGCACGCACCAGAGGGCAGGGTACTGGTAAAAAAAGGGTCTTTTTTTTGGTTTGGAGGCTGAAGTTGATGGAACGAGGCCGGTAGTGGTGGGCTGCAGGCTGCAGGTGGTGGTGACTACTGGTGAGTACCTAGGTAGTGAGTAAAGTGAGTTAGTGAGTGGTGGAGTGCGTAAGTAAAAAGGTAGGAGACTATTTCCGCCCGTTTTCGACTAGAATGCGGCGGTGCAGATGATGGATACCGCGGGAAAGATGCATGCATACTGGAAACTAAAGTATGGCGGTGATGCAGTGCAGTCAGTGATCAGTGATGGCACATCTTGTGCGGAGCCAAATGGATCATGGAGGCAATGGAGGCGATGGAGGCAAAATGGAGCCCTAGACACACCAAGAGAGAGCCCAAAAAAGCTTGGCAATGTTCTTGTCTTGTTTGGCCGCCACCTAGCCGCCTGATAGGCTGAACGGCGAGTCTCATGCAGGCCAGTGCAGACAGATGCAGGCAAATGCAGGCAAAATGCAGGCAAAAAAGCCAGCCTAGTTAGACAAGGGTCCGGGAAATGGGCGAGGCCTTTTCTGTCGTCTTGTCCGTGACTAGCGTTGAGAGAATCTGATGACGCCTTGCTTGTTTCCTTGGCTTGGCTGCTTGCGCAGGCCTGCTCACTCTACGAGGCCTGGGCTAGTATTGATAGGTACCTACCTAGGTCCTAGTAATTATTAGTAGGTACCTACCTACCTGGTAATCTTTATAATTCACAGAACAACTGGCCAACAGATAAACTCGTCAACAGACGACTAACTGGTCAAGAACGACTGCGTACTCTGGAACAGCCCAGTCAGCCACACCATCTCACCCCGCCTCGTCATTCCCGCTCGTTTGCAAACAACCACAAATTCACAATCACCTTGTTCCTTTATCTCCTCATTCTTCGAAAGTCAGAACATAACAACTAGTCACAATCTTTTCCCCCCTCCCGCTTTCCTCATCTCCCCCTCCCTCCTCCTGCCTCCTCCCGCCCCGGCTACTTCCACCCATCGCCGCCTCAGCTGCTTTCGGTTAAGATGGGCGGCGATAATAACCACGGTCTAGAACCTCAGCCCGGGAGAAAAAAAAAAAGGCAAAACAAAAAATTAAAAATTAAAAGAGGCCAATACTTGCTACCGCGTCGCCAGCCCCCTGCGCCTCCGTCGGTCATGTACCGCATCGTCCCGGCTGTACAGACAGACACGCGGACGATGGGCTCTTTGCCCACTCCAGATGCGACTCCTACGATCCACGCTCACCCCTCCCTCCCTCCCTCCCTCCCTCCGTCTCTTGTCCCTCTTGTCCACCCAGCCAGCCCGCCCACCCGCCTCGCATCAGCAAAAAGCTTGAACAACAGCGTCCGGCATGATTTGGTCATCCCGCGATAGCCGAGACCAGGCGTTGCGGCCGGCCGACACTACTTTCCTCGATGGGTTACTTTTCAGCTCACCAAGGCACCTCATAAATCGACCAGACACCTAATCGAAGTCATCGACTCACATTAACCACACACCGACCACACACCGATCACTTATACCACTACTCAGGACAAACAATGTCGTACCATGCTGCATAAACGTCCATCTCTTCCCAAGGCTGCCAGGCAACCAGGCAATGCCAACCCTGTCACTTGCATCCAGTCGAAACGTTATAGACTTTGGATTCCCGCTTGCCGCCCACCGCGGACCCTCCCCGCCTTGCTCTGCCCTATCCTATCGACTTGCACCGCGACAACCGACTCGTGCCCAACTCCGCACCTGCAGTCGGTACATCGCCGTCGCGCACCCGCCCTAGACCCGGTGTAATATTTCCTGCCAACTGCCAATGCCAACCTCGCAGCGCCAACCAAACATTGATTCGTACATGTTTCATGTTTCTGTTTTCCAAGTCTGTTTTCGCAAAGAGCTCAAGTTTTTCATGACAAGTTGTAAAACTCGAGATGCAAAGCAATGATTAAGCCTGTCACACTATGAGCCACTACTACCAGCCATTATTATCACCAAATAGCCCCATCGAAAAGTACCTACCTAGGTACGCAATGTACGTTACTCCCACTGCCAACGCTTTTCCATGACGCCGTCACCTGAGCTCCACCATCAAGCCTTTGCCGCTGCTGCGCTATTCCCGTACTTTTTAAACTCACCTCGTCCGCTCATCGTCTTTTTCCCCCATGGCAATCCCTGCACAACGTACACAGCAAATTGTCCGCCATTTCCAACCATCCACCATGGGCCGCTTATCCGTCTCGCTCGCCCCATGGCGCGCCACCCTCGTATCACACCTTGAAGCCATGGATTCTCCTACCTTTGTTCTCAGCTCTCTTCATCGCCAACACGGCTCGGCCACCACACCCTCAGCGCAAAGGACCCCAGATGCAGCAACCTTTTCGCCCAGAGCCCGCACCGTTGTCTACCGCGGCATGTGGGCGGGCCTCAGCTTGAATTCGCGCAATCCTGCGCCACGAAACCCTAATGTCTATCAGACAGATCTACTTACCATCACTACGGATGTCCGCATGGACAAGGTGTCGGAAATGTTTCACGAGACTTTCACCATATCCACCAACGCACCCCAAACTTTGCAATCGTCCCCAGGAGGATTTGTCGAGGCCGTCATCTGGGCAGCGCATGCACAAACTCAATGGCGCATCCGTGGCCGCGTGTACATGATTGGGCCCGATATTGACTCGGACGCTGCACAGCCTGTACGACAAGCTTTGAGCGCGCATATGCGTCGGCAACATGCCGGGAATACAGAGATGGATGCTAAAGCAGATGGCTGGCAATGGGCCAAGGAGCTCACAGCGCACTTTGGAAACATCAGTCCCGTTATGCGAGGAAGCTTCCGCAACCCACCGCCTGGCACCCCTATATCACAGGCACCAGGCCCTGGGCTCGGCCTTGGCCAGAAGGTGGACGACTTGCACGACGAAATTGCGCGCAAAAATTTTAGGGTACTTGCCATCGCCCCAGAGCAAGTAGATCAAGTCGACCTATCTGACCCAGAACGTGGCAGACGGTGGAGGCATGACCTGATACTCAGTGGCGACGAGGGGACTTGGAAGACGACGGAGCTTTGGCCGTAGAGTGGACAATGTTGCACCATGACTTGTGCAGGACTCTGAGCACATACCGATAAGTGTATGGATGCGTAACCTTGCCATTCGACAATATTACATGTACATAGTGACCAGGATAGAACTGTACGGTTATCTGGCAGCCAACTAGTTGGACCTAGCCCTATTGGACAAAGCCGCCAAGTCTGTGTGCCAAGAGGATTGCTTGCATGTCCTTGTGGCTTTGATGAATGACTTGGCATATGCTTGACATGGGGGCCTGTTCAGCTAGACGGCGGGCTTGCATATCCCCCATCCATGACCCGCGCATGCAGGCAGACGTTGCGGTCGGAGCCTACTCTCCATGCTACACGGTGCCGTTTCATGCAGCGCGCGCAGAGGTATGATTCCACAGGACCCGCGTCCAGGTTACACAACGATCTCTGCGCGAGTATGCAGAGCAGCTGAACGAAGTAGGGATCAAAAAGGTCCTGTATATCGCGTCGAGCACAGTGGCCGAGTCTCGGCGCGGGTGGGATGGGAGCGCGCGCAGCTTTGTCACTTTGCTATAGGGAAAAAGTTTTAATAAAATATGCTTGGGAGGGGCATGTTGTAATGCATTCAGCTTGGAGGAGCTGCTGGAAAATCGCACATTACTAGAGCGTGTTATAGGCACAGAAGGAGTTCATGAATCGAGATTGCTATACGAGCGGAATAGAGTATGTGACGAGAATTGCCCTTCTGCCCCGGGCATAACGTGCCAGCCTGTCAAGTAGTTTATTAACTGGGCCTGATTCGTTTCATCAGGCGAGTTTAACAGCTTTTGGTGGCCGCCGGTGATGCCGCGGACACATGATCGACGACCATGGAAACAAGCAGGCTGGATTTGCCTCACCTGGTACGGATCAATATCTAGAACTGGCCAAGGCGGATATGCGTGCTATCATCGGCTACGCCCAAAAAAGGCTTAATATGGCCTCTGTCGTATAATATATACTGGTCAGACGAATTATTAAAATCGGTGCCCGCTGCATGGCGCAGCCCGACTCGTCGCAGCTGGCGCAACGGGGGCTCCATAGCTCAACTTGGTCATTATTTGCGGTCTGATATCAACGAAACCCCCGTCTAAGCCCGCACCGCCAAGCTAAGCTAACAGCCCTTTTTTTCTGGCGCGGCACCAGCACATCTTACGTGATGTGGATGAGGAAGTGGGAAGAAATAAGATACGCACTGGGGGAAAAAAAAAGGAGGACGTCGACGTTCTGGCGTGAGATGGACAAGCCAGGTGGGGGGGCGAGGGAAAAGAGTCAGGACTTGGCGATCGGCCACGCGTTTTTAATGGTACAGAGATCGGGCTCTCGCCAACGAGGGCAGGCACAAACAGGCAGGCAGGCAAGCACCTGCCTGCCCACTTGTCTCTGCCAAAATGGACTCCCCCCCCCCCCGGTCGGGAATGCAGGTTTTCTCATTTTGAAAAGAATACGATGTAGTGGAGATGGCAGTTGTTGACTTGCCGAGCATGGGAAAGACGGGCGCGGCAACGTTGGGATTCTCGCTGGGGCCCGACAATGCTGCTTTCTTCGTGTCGCTCTGGCGGGTAAAGGTTATGGCCCATGGGACAAGATGTAAATTTGTTGGGCGGGAAAGTGAGACTTGGGCGTTTGATATCGCTAGAAATTGGGCAGTGTTGAAACCGGCAGGAGATTTGAGAGAGTCCTGAAGAAGAAACCAGCGAGCCGAAGCGGATAAATGGTCAAGATATTTTCCGTCCCACTTCACACAAGGGCGGCAGTATCTATAATAATAACTTAATCCGAAAGACGTCGGTATCAACGTGCTACGATTTTTGGCGGCTGCCGGCCCATTTAGAACCACTCTCTTTTCACGGCTGCCTCGAGGGAATGGTAAAGCTGGGCATAGGCAATGACTGGAACCGCCGGCGCGGTTGCCAATTGTTGGGGGGTGCTGCAAAAAGGCCAATTCAAGGCGACTTGCTTGGCTACACATTCCAAAAGCCTGGACCAAGTGAAAGTGACGTGTTGACTGGATGATTAGATGGTTGGCATCCCCTGGCAGAGCAACGACGACTAACTAGGAATCTGACACTTTTTCCTAGCCTGTATTATTATTATCAAAGAGACCCCTGAAGTTTATTGAACTGCCGAAAAAGTGGATTCGGACGACATGAACTATCTGTTTGAAGACAGATTATTAGACAAGTATGTAGAAGAGGGTTTGGGGGCTGAAGTCTAGATACATAGTACCTAGACAAGACGGAGGTGTGTGGAGCTAGGCAAAGCCAAGTACGGGAATGAAATGGCAAGACTGCCATTGGGCCTGGAGGCAGGGTGATGCCGAGCTGTCAACACGTCACCTTGTAATCTGTAGGCTTGTTGCTGTTAGCGCCACATGCCGAAGCGTCAGAACTCAAGGTGGCAATTATTGATACGTGGTGGTGTTGAGCTGCTTCGACACACCGCAAGTTTCTGTCCGAGGCTTCAGCCGCCTGGTGGTTTCCCGCATTACAGCGGTTATGCTCGATCGAGATGGATTCCGGCAGCTTTCCTCTCCTACAAATATTCCGTGTCGTCTCTGGACGTAAGCAGAGAATTTCTGGACATTCGTTCTAGCGCATTGTCTATGCATGGCAACTTATGGTCTGGCAAATGAAAAGAGAATGGGAAATCAAAAAGCAAAGGGTCAATTGTTTTTGGTCAAAAGGGCGTTGGGGCGCTAGCGGATAGCGGACAGCGGTCGCATCCGCTGAGAATTCGGCTGATTCCCGCTCCATATCCACTGAAACCCGCCTCAGCCGGTCAACTGTCGGGACATCATTTTCAGCGCTAGTTGCGCTAGTTGATACTGAGAGAGGTAAATAGTCTGGGGTCATAATGCAACCATCATTCATGTATTAGCCACAGCGTAGCGATTAAGTTTCTAGGTATTTTCATCCGTTATTTCCCACCTCATTCCCTCTTGTTTGAAGACGAATGTATAATGATTTAAACTATAGTTGCTAGTCTTTTGCGTTGGCTGGCTCATTCTCGTCATCCATCGCTCCTCTCGTCCAATCTTGTCGCTCCGCTCCGCTCGAAAAAAAAAACTCAAACCGCTTGGCGGCGCCCAATCTCCTCGCCAGTATTTTTCAAAAAAGACATCACTTCAACGGCCGCATTGCGGCCCGTCATCATTGTCTGCCTCTCCCAACAACGGTAGAGCTGGCCTTTTTGATGCCCTCCCCTATAAGCCTTTCATCATTTCTATCTGGGCAGGCCGCTCAACCCGCTGCCTCGGTGCACGCCTCCGCTTCTCCCGCGCTGTAGGCCGCCATCCGACACCACGGCAGGCCGGCCCTAAGATTACACCACAAGGGACGCAACAAAAGTTCTCGCAGCTCATCCGACGATTGGACTTCCATCGCTCGATCATACCGGACTTTTACCCTCAAACTGCCACGCGTGGGTGTTGTATCTTGCCCCCAAGCCAGAGGGTCCGAAGCTCGTCGGGACAACCTCACATCCTCACACAATGACCATTGCCGCGTTGCGAACGCTGGTCGCCCAGGTCCCCAGCTGGCAGGACCGTCTCGGAAAGCTGGTGGCCGACATTGACGCCCGACAAACCGAACTATCCAAGGCCGAAAAGTCCACCGTGCAAGACTCTACCACGCCGACGCCGGACCTCGATACACACGCTTCGTCTAGCCACTCGATACCCGGACTGCAGACTGACAATATGAACATTGACTCTGCCACTTCGGTCGCCAGCCTCCAGAAACCGACACAATCCGTTGCCAATGGCCCGACAGCCAAGACAAAACGGCCCGATCCCGTCTACTTTGACGGCAATATGCAAAAGTTCTTCGAGGAGCTGGTCCACTTCATCGCCGTCAGCCGGAACATGATGCGCAAGGCCAAGATGGCTGCCCGCATCGCCCAAATCAAGAAAATGGCCGAGGTGCAAGTTGGAGATGACACTGGCGACGACACGCCTCAACGACCTACGCTACACTACGTCAGCGCGCGGGGGCTCGACTCGCTCGCTTCCGCGACTCCCAACGGCGGCACGTCGACGGGACGCGAGCCCGACATTTTCGACGCCCTCGACAAGAACCTCGACACCCTGCAGTCCACCAGCGAGCTGGCCGCCTTTCAGTTTCTGCGAGAAGCTTCCAATAACAAGCACATGAAGACGATTAATAGGATTCTTGGCGACGTGTTGGAGGCGGCCACCGCGGAGCTGGCGCGTCTGGCACGCGACGAGCCCGCCTTGATTCGGGATGCCGATGCCGCCGCTGCCCGCACCAAACGACCGCTGAGCATGCGCAAGGAGCTGCCCGCCGGGTCCAGGCCGGCCGAGGCGCCCAACAAGCGGCAGAACCTGGGTCATTTCAATCCGTCGACGAGCCTGCCGTCGATTGGACACATGGAGGTTGACTTTGCGGCTCTGCGAAATGACGAGGCCATCGCGCCGCAAGTCATTCACATGCCGACAAATGTGCACGTCTAGTAATATTGTGCTTTGTTGGAATGCAATGCATATTTTCTTGTTAATCAGCGAGTTTTGTGTACAAGCCAAAAAAGATACCACGGTGGCGTTCTCTTTTTTACCATTTCGCCCGATAACAGAGGCAAAGCGATGACCTGCCCCTCACGATCCTTATTTCTTATGACCTCACGACGTATGATTATCGTTATGCTGCAAAGCACCATTCGTACATTCAATAGAGCAACCCTTTGAATATACACATGACGAGTCTATCCAAAGAACATGTTTCGCATCTTTGCTTGTGAATAGAATCCAGATATATGGACCTTGTAGATCGGGTTCACTGCGCCTGTTGGTGGCTAGTGAGTGCACACTGCGGATACAGCTCGACGACCCCACACAAGCAGGTGGCGTGGCGCGTGAACCTACCGAATGACATGCCGCAGCTCTCGTCGAAGTTATCGCTTCACAGCACCTTTAACGCGGCACGATTTGCTTCTGCCTCATCTGCCGATCCCAGCCTACAAACAGGCGACGGCGAACATGACGTGATAGAATCTCCCTGCATCCACGACCAGAAGCTGCTTGTCCTCTTCTTCGCTTTTCCAAGCCGCCCCGACAACCGGCCGCCATGGGCCAGGGCTTCTCGCTGGCGACGCCCTCGGCGGGCTCTGCCGGCATCGACGTTCCCCAGCTGCAAGATCTTCAATACGAGCGGAGCATTGGTGATGCACGGTTCATGAAGAGTATCCGAGCCCGCGACGAGAACACGGTCGTGCTCGTCAAGGTGCTCGTCAAGCCGTTTGCCGACGTCAAGCTCGACCAGTACAAGAGACAAATTCTAGGTATGCATTGGCATTCCTTCACCGAGAGCGTATCAGAACGGAGCTGACTTTTTCTTTTGTAATTGCCGTGTAGAACAGCGAAAAGCCCTCGCCGCCGTCCCCAACGCCCTCGGCTTCCAGCGTGCCATCGAGACGGAGACCAACGGATACCTCGTCCGCCAGTTCATGTACAGCTCGCTCTACGACCGCCTCAGCAATCGCCCGTTCCTAGAGGACATTGAGAAGAAGTGGCTGGCGTTTCAGCTTCTCTGCGCACTGCGCGACTGCCACGCACGCGATATTTACCACGGCGACATCAAGGCCCAAAACGTGCTGGTCACGTCATGGAACTGGCTCTACCTGACGGACTTTTCGTCGGCGTACAAGCCCGTCATGCTGCCTGACGACAACCCGGGTGACTTCTCATATTTCTTTGATACGTCGGGCCGGCGAACCTGCTACATTGCGCCCGAGCGATTCTACGCTGCTGGAGCGGCCCCGCCAGAGACGGCCAAGATGACGTGGGCCATGGACGTTTTCAGCGCCGGCTGCGTCGTGGCGCAAATGTTTCTCGAGTCGGAGATTTTCAGCCTCGCGCAGCTGTACAAGTACAGACGCGGCGAGTACGACCCCGTCATCACCCATCTCAGCGTCATCTCGGACAAGGATGTGCGGGACATGATTGCAAACATGATTCACCTGGACCCGGAGAAGCGCTACTCGGCAGACCAGTGCCTGGAGCTTTGGAAGGGGAAAGTCTTTCCGCATTACTTTTACAACTTTTTGCATCAGTACATGGAGCTCGTTACGGATCCGTCCTCGGGCAACAGCCCCATGTCTGGGGCGCAAAAGAATGAAGGCGAATCTGACGACCGCATCGATCGCGTCTACTATGACTTTGACAAAATTTCCTACTTTCTCGGGTACCAGTCCGAAAAGAGAACACAGAACGACGAGCCTCGACCGCAGCCCAAGCTGGGGCTGTCACACTTTCCAGTACAGCTTAGCATTCCGAATAATGAACATGCAGTCTCTGCCGACCTGGAACCACCAGAAGATGACGGAACACTGATATTCCTGACCTTGGTAGTTTCTGCCATGAGGACAACAGCCAGGGCTTCATCAAGAATTCGAGCCTGCGACATTCTCCTAGCCTTTGCCGAGAGATTGACAGACGAAGCAAAGCTAGATCGGGTCCTGCCCTATTTAATGGCGCTTCTGAAAAGAGATGAGACGGATATTGTGGTGGTCTCCGTCATACGCACTATCACGCAGCTTTTGCAGATGGTACACATGGTCACGCCGATTAACTCGCATGTCATCGCAGACTATGTACTTCCTCGCATGGAAACGGCACTTGGCTCAAAGGCTAATGTTGCAAGCCCCTTGGTGCGCGCTACATTTGCGTCGTGCTTGGGCAGTCTCGCCTCGAGTGCTCAGAGATATCTAGAGCTAGCCTCCAGTATACGGCCGGATGGCTCCATGTCCATTGCAGACCCCGAGGTCGAGGCCGGTGCAGAGGCAGACACCAATTTCGAAAGCATATTCGACAATGCTGGAAGGCAACTCTTTGAAAAGATTGAGGGTTTTACCAAGCAGCTCGTCGAAGATCCTGATGTATATGTGCGACGGGCACTTCTTTCATCGGTACCGGAGCTGTGCATGTTTTTCAAGGAGCAGTCAAATGATGTGTTGCTGGCGCATTTGAATACCTACCTCAATGACCGAGACTGGTCTTTGAAATGTGCCTTCTTCGATACGGTCGTTGGCATCGCTGCTTTTATCGGAAGCGTGAGCTTGGAGGAATTTATGCTGCCCCTGATGGTTCAAGCGCTGGCCGATCCCGAGGAATTTGTTGTGCAAGCTGCCATTCATTCCTTGGCGCAGCTTGCTGGCCTCGGCCTACTGTCTCAAGCAAAGCTCTGGGAGCTGCTGGACCTGATTGGGCGTTTCACCATGCACCCCAACATATGGATTCGCGAGTCTGCCGCTGAATTTATTTCCATGTCGGCAAGTTTTCTCGAGCCAGCCGACGTGCACTGCTTCTTGCTGCCGTTGGTCAAGCCATACTTGAAGATTGCCCATCTTCCCGACTATAATGAACTCAGCGTTCTTGATGCCCTGAAATCTCCGCTCACGCGACCCGTGTTTGATCAAGCCATAGCGTGGGCTACTCAGACCGACCGTGGGGTCTTCTGGAAGTCGTTACAGTCCGCTCGATCCTTGGCTTTTGGATCCTCTTCCACATTGGCTGCGCGAACCAAAGAATTGATTTCGCCCGCCGCGAGCAAGTCAAACCGCAATGACGAAGATGACCAATGGCTAGAGAAGCTACGAAAGTTGGGGATGAAGCCAGAAGATGAGATGAAGCTGGTTGCTTTGCGAGAGTTTATCTGGCGTCTCAGTACCATGCGAAGCCGAGACTCTTCTCCAGCAGAGCCAAGTATTTCTGTGGGCGTGATTTCTTTGAAGGACCTGGGCGTCACGCCACAGACAGTCTTTTTCAATGACACACCACTCAAGGATCCTTCAATTACTCCGGATTTGGAGCCGCCGTCGGCGCAATACACAATCGCAGATGCGCTGTTGGACGCCTCGATGACTATTGATGATACTGTCACGAAAAGAAGAAAGGCCGCCAATGTGCACAAGAATCGAGTTCAAAGCGTGGGTCCCCATGATGGCCGTATTCTGTCACCCAGCGGAAGTGGTCGCGCCAGCTCTCGCGACTCCCACATACTGTCAAATGGCTCCCGAGATGACGCGTCTGTCAACGAAGGGCCCTATGCGCTGAGACGTGCAATGCGTCACCAAACTAGTGCTCTGAGCCTTCTCGACCGCAGAGACGGAGGCAAGTCGATACCCGAGACTGGGACCAGTGACGCGAATGCTTTTGGGGAGATGGAGGGTCCGTTTACGCAAATGGTTCGCGCGCAGCCACCGGCCTCGGGGAAGAGCGCGGAAGTGCAGGTGGCGAAGCAACCAAAACACAGCTACGCAGGCAATGATCCAAGTATCCAGTTCATGCTTGACAATATGTATGTCGACAATTTCCCTCGCGATGTGCTCGAATTTGGGCCCATGGTGGAGCCGATATCCAGGAGAAAGAACAGAGCTGTTCGCACACCAAACACGGAAGAGCGCTGGAAACCGCAGGGACACTTGGTGGCCACTTTCGGCGAGCACAGGGGCTCCGTCAATCGCGTCGCCGTCTCTCCAGACCACATGTTTTTCGTGACGGGTGGCGATGACGGCACCGTCAAGGTCTGGGACACTGCGCGGCTGGAGCGCAACATTACGCATCGATCACGACAAACGCACAAGCATGCCGACGGGGCACGTGTGATTGCGCTGTGCTTTATTGAGAACTCGCACTGCTTTGTAAGCTGTGCCAGTGACGGCAGCGTCGAAGTCGTCAAAGTCGATACCGTCTTGGCCAGTGGCGTCGTCAAGTATGGCAAGCTGCGGATTCTGCGCGAGTATCGCCTGCCAGAAGGAGAATATGCCGTCTGGTGCGAGCACTTCCGGCAAGAGACTAGCTCTATTCTCATCTTGGCCACAAACAAGTCGAGAATTCTCGGCATTGACTTGCGAACCATGGCGTTGCTTTATATCCTGGAGAATCCAGTTCACCATGGCGCGCCGACCTGCTTCTGCGTTGACAGGAAGCGACACTGGCTCTGTGTCGGTACGACGCACGGCATTATTGACCTCTGGGACCTGCGCTTCAAGACCCGGCTCAAGGCCATGGGGGTCCCTGGAAAGAGCGCCATCTACCGCGTCGTCCTCCATCCGTCCAAAGGCCGCGGCAAGTGGGTGTGCGTCTCTGGCGGCGCCGAGCACGGCGAAATCACGACGTGGGATCTGGAAAAGTCGACGTGCCGCGAAATTTACCGAACCGGCACCGTCAAAGATGGCCCCAAGGAATACGCCGTGTGGGACGTGGACAGGGAAAAGCCCGAGGGCGTCCTGGCGCGCTTCGCGACGACGCTCGACGTGGCTGGCTCTGCGCATGCGGACCGCGGGGTGCGCGCCATTGCAACCGGGATCTCCACGGGCGAGGACTCGCGCGACATTCGCCACGCGTTTCTGATAAGCGGCGGCTCGGACAGGAAGATGCGATTTTGGGACATTGCGCGAACGGAAAACTCGTGCGTGTTTAGCGGGCTGCAGCCGGATGAGGCGCAGCCGACGTATTCGGCGCCGAGTTTGACAACTTCGACGACGACGGTCAACACGGAGCGCTTTGCGAAGCACAATGGGAGTAGCGCGGCAGCAGGGACGGGAGCGAGCGGGAGGGCCAAGACGTCGTCGGGTGCGGCGGCAAATGGCCGGCCGGCGCGGTCGACGGTGATTTCGCTACAGCAGCAACAGCTTTTGCAGTCGCATCTGGACTCGGTTCAGGATGTGGCGTTGCTAGAGTATCCTTATACGATGAGTGTGTCTGTTGATAGATCGGGAATGGTTTTGGTGTTTCAGTAGATGAAGAGGATAGGCGCGTAAGTGGCTGTTGTATGAAAGCACTCTAAATAGAATATTAATTACGTAAGGATTTGATGTGGTCAAGACTTGATTGAGTAGTCTGTTTGCGTGAGTGTGCCATCGGTCTTGGGCCGGTGTAGTACCACGACACCATCTTTGTACACTCGTAATAGAAGGCTCAAACTTGCAGAGTGGTTACTGATGCGACGTCTGTTGTAGAAGCTCATGTGTTGCTTGGCTGTGCTCGAGCATATTCATATTCAAAACTCTTTCTCAATGGCCACTTGCTGGAACCGTCTCTGCCGTCGACGCTTCCTTCATTGAGCTTTTGGGGGCCGCGAGAAGTAGAAGCTGCGGCCCGCCCGTACCAAATGTCCATGGCCCGCGAGCAGCGTCAACGACAACTTTGTCCTACTGATAAATCACAACCTTGTGGGGCAGCAACGTGAAAGACGATGACGACAAGGCACCGACCGCCAAGATTTTTTTTTTTTTTAAAAAAAAGTTATAGTTACTCGTCATTTGCGAGGTGCTCATTGGTTGCCGTGGAACTACTGGGCGACAAACGGCCATTCAGAAACTAGGACAAGAAACGTTTTGACGACACTGAAAGAAGACCCGATGCACAAACCACACTAGCTTGCGACTATGTAAGCTTTTTCTTAGGCAGTAAAAGACAAAAGACAAAGGCCCTTGTCTTCTTGCGGGTGCGGTGGCTTTGCCTGATTACTGATAATGAGTTACTTGAGCCTAGAAGGGGCTGGCGCGGCGTTGGCACCAAAACGTTGCATTTCACTTGATTACACCAGACAATCTCACGCTAAAGAATAAAGCAACTTTCCACAGATGCTCATTGTGAATTCAAAGCATATCAGTGGACTTTCTTCTTCACCTTTTCGTTGCTTCAACAAGTGGAGTGAGTTGTCGTCTTTATTTTAACAATGGTCGCAGTGGGCAATCATTCAAGAACGAGGCACAAACGTCGGAGGGCGCCGTTCCAACTTACACGCCCCCTCCCCCCCCTGCATGAGACATATTCTTCACAAGGTGTAAAACATGGCGTCTAGCTCAGGGGTGCCATTGTTTTGCCATGCGACTCGAATCAAATGGTATATTCTAGTGTAATTATGGGTAGTAGAAAGGAACGGCCTACATGATCATGACATTTAGAAGCCGCCAGAGCCGGCCATGACTGCTGCAGGCGGTGGTCTCGGAGCTGACATATCCATCCCTCCTGCATGGCCTCGGTGATATGATCTCTCCTGTCTAATCAGAGAATCATGGCTCGCCGTGGGACTGGGTCCCCGTACATTCCCCAACGAATGCGACGAATATCGATTCATCCTGCGCATGGATTCTCTGCGTGGACGCGGGTCCAAATCATTGAGCCATTCGTCGCTATCAGTCTTGCGCGGCTGTTGCTGCTGCTGCTGCTGCTGCTGCTGCGACTTTGCGTGCTCCACGTCCTCCCAGGTCGCGCCCGTGGTGACGCCGTGGCCGCCCCGAGACGTGGTGCCGCTGCTGTGATATCCCGGACGAAACTTTGTCTTTTTGGCGCCGCTATCGCGAAGAAACGAGCCCAAGGCCACAATGTTGGCCACAACCGTGGCGGCCAGAATCTCAACAGACGCCCACATGGAGCGGAATATCTGGTCGCCCTTGAGCTTGATGATTTGGGGCACCCGATACAACGTAATACCGACTGTCAAGAAGCCAAAGCAAAAAAGCATGACGAGAAGCACCTTGCGCTTAGTGGGAATGCGCGTAGAAAGGATAAGAGGCACCGGAAAGACGATGAGGATAATGTCGAGCACGGCGCTGGCCGCCCCCATGGTGATGAGCTGCACGAAGCCTTGTCGGCACTGACCGCCCGGATCGGGCGTTAGCTGCCAGGATTTGGCAATTGGGTGACACACGGCGAGATTGGTAATGAGGACGGCGATGAAAGACACGCCAAGGGCATATCGTAGAAACATGGTGAGCCGTAGGTAAATCTTCTTCATGGATGCGCCTGCCAGCCGAGTCAGAAACTCGAGTGTCGTGAGCTTGAGCGTCCATAATCTAGACGAGGTTGTTAGCGGCGGACAAATTGCGCTCAATCGCGAGCCACCAGAAAAAGCTTACGTGGCGGCATAAAATACTCTGCCGGCAAGGACGACACGGCTGCCTGTGACTCGATGCGAGAGTTGTGCGTCTGAGAGGGTGACGCCATCGAGGTCGACGTTGTTGGCGCCCCATAGCAGCACGACGTGGGCGCAGGCGATGCGCAGGAAGAGCGGCACAAGGGCAAGTGCGACAATTTTGTCTTCGCGAAACAGCTTCTCGACGCGGATATACCGTCCCGCCAGTCTCAACAGAATGATGCATGTACAAAACAGCGTAATCCACCATGATACCAGCAAGGTCGGTTTGGCCTCGCTAAAGGGCCGCAGAGGCGGCGGGTCAGAGTAGAGCATTATTGTGTGATGAGAGTCGCACCCGGGATTAGGTCGGAAAAAAGAAGAAGAAGAGGGAAAAGATCAAGGCATTCTTCAGAGGTCAAGACCCTGTGCATATGGTAGGAGTCGGCTCATCTCATGCGGTGGGACGACGGAGCAAGAATGAAAGACTCAGGGAACGCCAATAGAAGCGAGATGTAGATGCGCATGTGTTGTGGAAAAGGACAAGATGCTTGTTGGGGACATCCAAAAGCACTTTTCGGAAATCCAAGCAACGAAAGAAATACATGTGCACCCCCCGGAGTCGTCAACACCACACCAAAGGTACCAAGCCATGCAGGCCCATTATTAGCCAAGTCCATGCAGGCCCATTATTAGCCAAGTCCATCCAGCTCGCTCGCCCGCTTGGCAGAAGCTGCAAGAGGGGACAGCGACAGCAGTCCGAATTGGGTGCTGAAGGGGGCGGGGGGGGGAGGCGGCGGATAATATTGGCGAGTACCCATCCGTACTCGAACACAAGAAGCAAGGCCGGGAGGGGAGCTCCCCGCCCTCTTCTTCAGCAACAACAGCGGTGGCAACGTGGTTTTGGCAGGGTTCATGACAAGAGGCAGGCAGGCAGGCTCGCAGCCCCATGGGCTCGTGATGAATCTAGCTAGCTCAAGTCAAGTCGCAAAGCCTTGCCTGCAGCAAGTGGCGTCTTTGGCGGCCGCTTGTTGGTTGGGGTCGCATCCAGCGGCCCCCCTCCTCCTCCCCGAGGCCGAATTCGTTGGTGGCTTGCCAACGCTCGGAAATTTGGTTCGGATGTGTGTGTGTGTGTGTGTGTGTGTATCTGCTTGCTGCGTCTTGCATCATTCGAAAGACCAGCCAAGTTGGGTGTGACGGCGATGCAGGGCAGACCAAAAGGTTGGCCGACGACATCTCTCAGCTCACGTTGTGAGGGGGAAGGGGGGGGTTGTCTTTTCACGCCTCCGTCGCATAACGAAACCCCCCCCCCCCCCTTTGTCGTCTCGTGGCTTTTTTTTTTGTGCGTAAGCTGGAAATTTGCCATAGCTGTATCAAGCTGAAGAACCTGAACATGGTCCTGCGTTTCAATGCTCTGCCGCAGGAAACAGAAGAAGAAGAAGAAGAAGGGTGCTTACGCGAGAAATCAAACGGCAGGATGGATACACAAACGATCTGCGTGACTCGCGCGGATGGTGGATTTTGTGGAGGCGGGGCGAGGATTCAAGAAATTAGGTATGGACTGACTGATAAATAGTTTGGCGCCAGGCACCGCAACTGTTAATAAAGAGCTCCAATCGACTGTGGGACCTGCTGATCGCCTTCGTCTCTTGTTTCAGCGACCGTTGACCCCTGAAATTGGAGACTAATAGGAACGATATCACAGAGTGGTACCTTTTCCTTTTATGACCATCTCTTTTCAGTCTAATGCCGCTCTCAGTATTAAAATGTATCAAATGTATCAAATGTATCAAATGTATCGCGTTGCTGCCTCTTGTCTTTTTGCCCGAAAAGACGCCCGCTTAAAACAAATAATCCATAAATTCTATCGACACCGCTAATTCTATCTTCATCGCTTCTTCGTGCCTTCACCCAGTCTCCCACATGTCTAGTCGCTTGCACGCAGTCATTTTGTCTACCTTTACCTCTCTACCCACCAACAAAAAAAAAAAATCAACAAACAAAAAAGAAAAGAAAACTTTTTCGAGCCCGATAGCACGGCAGGTTCGAGACAATGTTGCAGTCTTTCAACCCAAGTCTAAAGTACCCTGCAAGAATCACCAAGCTGATAAGACATCATTTTTAGAGCTACTGCGGTGCATCTTGCTTTGATGTAGGTGTTTCACCGCCGTTCCTGACTTCAGCTTCGCTAAAGGGAGCGGCCACGTCTGTCATGTCCAGGACAACGGGTTCCTTGGGCGTCGTTGCCTTCATTTCGAGAGGGGCATCATCGGCAAAGAGTTTGTCGTTTTCTTCAAAGTCGAATGCCTCTGACAGATTCACCGCCAAAAACGTCTTTGGCAATTTGACCCTGCGTCACGCCATTAGTACTGAACCTTGGTGCTATTTTCTGAATGCTTACTGAGTAAATTTGGCCCGCAAAGTCTTAATCACTTGCAGCCAGTCTTGATGAGCCGTTAGACTACGCCTTGGCGCGCACCCAATGCAGTGTCGGCTATCAAGCTGCACGTGTAGAGGATCAAACACATGGCATCCAGGGCTGATGGTGATACGAATGCTGTATGTGAATGCGGGCTCGTCGTCCGCTACACTTCCAGCAGGTGGCGTCACCTCCGACTCGTACAACTCAAAGCAAATCTGCGAGAGATAATCTAGCTCAGGGATAGTACTGCGCTTAATCTTCGTCTCAATCCCGCCTTCGATGATGCAGTTAAGAAGCGTGTAGATGTGAGATTCCTTGGTGAAGTAGAAAAAGGACTTGGCGTCGTTAGAAGCCTGCATCTCTTCCAAATCATGGACAATCTCTTTCAAAAGCGGCAGCGATGTCAAAAGACCAATCTCGAGCTTCTCGCTGTCGGAAATGCCATATTCCTGCGGGCAAATAAAATCAAAGAGAATTTTCGCAAGTCTATAAAGTTCCTGGAGGGGCTCATGCCGAGGATCAGACTTTGTTGCCGCCTGGTTGGTGCCCTTGTACAAGCGAAAGTACTGCTCGGGTTGCGCTTCATCATTTGATCCCCTAACGCTGTTGATGAACGAACGTCTGCGAAACAGCTTGCGAACAGAGCGATTGCTCTGATCAGACTTGTCAGAGTTGTCAGAATTGGCGCCCTTGGCATCTTCCGAGGCCTTGCTGTCCTTGCTGTCCTTGCTTTCCTTGCTGTCCTTGCTTTCCTTGCCGTCCTCGCCATCTTTGGAACGCTCCTTGGTGCCGTATTCTTCCTCCAACATGCCCTTGGGAGGCGTGAATACCCATTCAAGAAACTGCCTATTATGCAAGGCATCAAACTTCATCGTATCGTAAAGCTCGGATATCTTGCTCGGGTCTACCTTTTCACCGTCACAAAATTCGGAAAAGAGCTTCTCCCAGCGCTCACGGAAAAGCTCCGCATCCTCGCCCGAGCACCATCTGGACTGGATGCTAGTTACAGCATTCGCGTGCGAAAGCGCCGAAGAAATAGATGCGCTAGAGCTTTCGCCATTGAGTTTTTCAGTGCTAGGATTCGAAATGGCACCGAGAGAAGTGGCTGCACCGCTGTAGAGTTTGCCATAATTGTACTGCATCACTCGTCGATGGAAGTTCATGAGCTGCACCACTCGTGTCTGCACCTCGGAAGGTTCTGGCATATTTTCAGGCCAGGCAAACTGCTCGGGACGTTCATTGCCCTTGCGCAGCAATCCCTTGAGCTTCTTCTTCACCTTGTCGGTTTCGTCCTTGGCGGCATTCGAGTCATCCAATAGGTCTTTGCGAACAGTGATGAAATCCTCGGGCATTTCTTTTTGCGCAAGGAAAGATGCCGCCCAGATCTGGGCACTCGCCGTCACACGTCTCTCTGAGCTGCTGAAGACGTGCACCTCATCCAAAATATCTCTATTCATGAGCATGAGATCGTTGCGCATATTTTCACCCAGCTCTTGCGCTTGGTATCGAGCTGAATGGGTAGGCTCGCCGCCCCATTTGATAACGAGTTGCAGCTTGTCAAGCACTAGGCTTTCCTCGGCAGCCGTGAACTTGGACATGGTTACACCGGAGAGCGAGTCGTGTCTGCGTGGCGATACGCGGTGGGTTCCGTTCTCGGCCACGTGGTCAGAATCACCCTGAGCTGCAGATTCTTCCTCTTCGTTGACATTGGGGAGGCTCATGGCAGATTTATCAGTCTTCTTTTTACGGAACATGGGCTTGATCTGAACCTTTGTTCCAGCCCAGCTGCCTTTCTTGACAAGTACGTTTCGCAAAGACTTGAGCTTTCCGCGATCCTCGACACCTTGCTCAAACGCAATGTCGACAGCTTGCATGACGCTAGCCAATGCAGCTTCACCAATGAGTAAAACTTCCTCTTGGTGTCCTTTTAAGAGAGCAATAAATGGCTCTGTGTGGAATGTAAACTTGTACTTTTGTTTCGGGGTTCTGTCGGCATGTCGAATCACCGAAACCATGCCCTTTAACTTCCATGAGTGTTTTGGGGGAGGAACGGCAGGAGGATTCTCGTCGATGGGAACTTGGTGACCGGAGGTGTTGGCTGTCGTTGTAGACTTGACGGACCCGGGTGCCGAAGAAGCGGCGGCCGCTGGAACCGGAAGAGTCGGATCTGACGCAGGAGGTGGAAGGTGCAAACTTGTTATGGTGCTCTGAAGTGCCGAAGTCAGTGCACTGTCGGATATCGGAAGCGATGTAGCGAATGTTGAGTGTGGTGCAGTTGTAACGGCTGATTCTGGTTCGCCAGTGGGAGCGGGCGAGGCTGTGGTAGCTTGCGATGTATTGGCAGACTGCAACTCTTTTTCCTTGATCGATGCCGTGGTCTTTGACATGGAATCAACATCTGAAACGGTTGGCGACGGAAGAGGAGGCGTTAGAGACAGTCGTCGGAGTTTCTCCTTGATAAACATATCCTTCAAGATACTGGCACAATGCTCATAGTAGTCTTCATTGTCTTTCACAAAACTCCAACCATTGACATCAATGACATAGCTTTTGCCCGCAGCCCGAAGGAGATCAAACCCACAAACACGCTGACCAAATGCAGTCGAGATCTTGCCTGCCACGTCTCTTTCTTCGGTGCTCAAGGCAGTGACATATCTCAACTCCTTGCCGTGGGTGTTGCGTCGAACGATACCGTCAACGACAGGCGACTTTCGAGTCTCAGCATGACAGAAGGTCGGGCCAACGGTGTATGCTTTAACGTCTTCAGCGTTGTCAACTTGCATAAAGCTTTCATAAACGTAGCTGTTTTCCGGTTCAGTGATACAGCGAGGCGTATCGAGGTCGGCAACAAAATCGGAGCTCTTGTTGCCAATTTTGCGAAACAATTTCCTTGCACCACCGCCGGCGCTCTTTGGAAAGTAAATAATGACATTGTGATCCTCTGCGCTGGTAGGTTTTTCGACGAATGGTTTCCGCAAGACCACGCCATCAACACTAAGCGCGTCACCATTATCAACAAGCTCGACCAGTTTCGGAGTCGCTGTCTTGGTCGGATCAACGGGTTCAAGAGAAACCCCAGAGACTTCTTTGATATACTTTGCAACCTCGGCTGTGAGCAGACTTGGACCACCGTCGCGGCTAACTTCGAGACGCTTTGGCGTGCGGACATGGATTTTGTCAAGTAAACGCAGGCAAATACGCCTGTCCCACAGAATCTGCTGCATTGGTACGTCATTGACGCAAAACGGCTTCCGAGCCTTGACGTAGGCAATAGCTTTTTCAAGTGGAAAGCCATCGGAATAAAACGATATCAAGTAATCGCTATGAAATATTAGTTCACCCTTGTCTGAGATGTAGAGGCTGTACATTCAGCCGGTGCGCGGCGAGTAGCTAGGCCGGAACGGCTGACCGAGCTGAGCGGCACTGGGTCGCATAGACTTACCAAATTGGCCAATTTTCAACCTCTGCCGTGTTTGTTAGTATAAAAGGCTACTGTGCGCCCCGGTATGCTTGGAACTGACCTTCATCAAGAATAACTTTGTCTCCGAATACCACCACATCGAATTCTCGATTAGCAATGATGCGATTTAAGATATTGCGGCTCGGCTTGCTGCGCGCCTTAATGTCGAGGGCGCAGATGCCAATGACACCCCACTGCGCGGGTTTGGCTAGAAAACGCGTTGGCGAAAAATTACTGGACGGGTTCGCTTGTACTGACCTTCTTCTCTGTAGTGATGGTTACCCCTGTCACTGCTAGGGCTATGGCTGCTGTTGGCAGTACTGCCGCTGAAGCGTCGCTTTACCCTGCTGCGGGAGCGGTCTGGCTGCGTACGCATTGTCTCGGCCCGCTGAGGGCGTCGCATCATGTCCAGCGGCTGCGAGTGAGGGTCTCGGGGTGTCAGCTGAGGCCCGGCAGGACCAGTGGCTTGTGAATTGGAGGACGTAGTAACGGTGACATTGGAGACACCGCTTTCTGACTGGCCGGAGCCGGAGCCCTTGACGGACGACATGAGACTGGCCGAAGCGGAGCGTGCAGTGGCTCTCTTGTCTATGCCTTGGGAACAAGAATTTATGATACCTCTGGCAGAAGCAAGCGAATATATGGAATTATTTGAAAGGCGACGAGAGTCAGACTGGGACCGAGGAGGCCTCTGAGGAGTGACGAGAGTAGCGCTGGAGCGGGCTGGGTCGTCGATGGTGGCGAGACGGGTTCGCTGGGCATCCGAATCGTGGTGGAATTTAGGGGCAGGGCTGTCGTCTGTGGAAGTGGCAGAAGTGGTGGATTGGCGACGAGAATGTGCCAGAAGCGCTCGTGTGCTCGTTAGCTGGATTGAGCCGTGCGCGGTTGTGGGCAGGCTGGCTCTCGCGGGGTGGATGTCGGAAGTGCCTGGCTCTGCATGCCGGCTCCTGGTATTAGTGACGGAGCCAATAACAGCCGGGATAGAAAGGATGCGGGCGTGAGCACGAGTGGAAGGCTTCTTGGGGTCGGTTGAAGTCAAGGGTACGGACGAGTCGGCGTTGTCCTTGTTGACGGAGATGGAGGAGGAAATAGTCGTCGAGCATGGCAGAAGCTTGGCCCCGTTTTCGGACCCCGTGGTGGTAAAATTCAGAGGCTCCATGGCGAAGCGATCCGGTTTTGGAGGTCACGCTAACAAGGCCGAAATCTGGAGCCGCCACACTGACTGGCCAAACCAGCCGCAGCCAGAACCTACCTAGGTAATCGCTGGCCTTGGGCCAACGTCGAAAGAAGCTGCTGGCGAGTATGCTTCTGGACTTGTGACATGTGCAGATCGCAGGGCAGAGGACAGTCACCAGTATGGTTTAGCTCGCTCCCACGTTGTCGAACGGCGAGCAGGCCCTGTTCGTTCTGCAGTAACTAGTTGATGTCCGGTAATCGACGTGTTTCTGGGCAGGCCAGACTGATTAGGTGTCGGAAAGTGCCACCTGCAGCCTCAGATGGAGCCGCAGCCCAGCGCCATTCATCAGCCCTTGTTGGAGATCGACTTTGCGTGATGTGCGATGGGCTCGTGGGTGCAGCACTACCTGCGGGGAAGCTTGGGCAGAAATGGGGACGACGGCGCTATTATAGGGTCCATGCCAGTATTGTTGTAGGTCAGCGCCTAATGAGACACGATCGGAGTCGAGGGAGCCTGAGGCAGTCCTCGTATGCAGTATCGCCAATAGCATGCATGCATCGTGGTGGTCGTTTGGTTGCTAGCATTGCCGTGAATGTGCAGGGCAACAACAGACTGGTAATCAGCTGGCAGTTGGCCGCCAGTTAGTGGTGGGCAACTGGCAATGCGTACCATAAACTGCCAGCCAAATTAAATAAAGTAGCCCCGTACAGGCCGTGATGCTGTCAATGACCCAATATCGAATTTCGTTCTAGTATACACATATCTGTCGGTTCTACCTTGAGATTGACCAGTCACTGCGTTTAGCCGTGTTCATCGAGTGCCTGTACCTAGGTAGGCTGAATAGCTCTCACTCACCACCCGCATCCGTATCAGTGGAACCAAGGCGGTCTAGGTGGGGCAGGTCCGGCAGAAAATGGCAATTCTCAACACCGCCAAAATTTTCTAGATAATGTTTCTGGCGGCAAAACCAGGCTCGACCAGGCACGACTTTTCAGATATACAGTTTCTACGGCACCATGACGCAACCTCATGCAGATGGGCCGCTGGCAAAGCGCCAGAGAGTCGCTGCTCCCACGTCTGGCACCAAAGCACAAGCGAATGCTTCGCGCATATTTGCCCCGTTCCGAGTACGCATCTTTCTTTACCACACTGCTTTAATATCTTGCTAATTCCTATTTCGCCGCAGACTGTCGGCTTGGTTTCGCCGACTAGTGTGCCATTTACCTCTATCCCTCTCGGCAAAACAACATTTCAGATAACAACCTCGGTCGGCAAAGCCTTACAAACCTATGACCTGAAGCGTGGTCTCAATTTGGTCTTCGTCACCCGACCCGAAACTCCCGCCGTTATTACCGCGACTTTTGCTTGGAAAGAAAAAGTCTTTGCTGCATGGGGTGGAGCAGACGGTAATCAAACTCAGGGCATCTGGGTCTTTCAAAGAGGCAAAAAGATTGATGAGCTTACCCTCCCAGACGACCTTGACGAGCCGATTCAGCAGATTCTGGTTTTTGGAACGTGGCTTGTTGCCTGTGCCTCGAAGAGGATCGAGGTTTTCAAATCGGCAACTCTCGAACACTATACAACCATCCACACTATGGCGGCCGCAAACGACGACAACGAAATTACTGGTGGCGTGACCATGATGCCTACTTTCTTGAACAAGATCTTTGTTGGTCGCAAGGACGGCTGGGTCGAAATCTGGAATGTGAGCACCGGAAAGCTCATTTACACCATTCTACCGCAATTTTCCGAGGCTGGCTCTGTTACTTGTCTCGAGCCTAGTCCAGCGCTTTCTCTTCTCGCCATTGCTTACTCATCTGGCTTCTTGGTGGTGACCAATGTGCTTACGGACCAGCCGCTGCTGCAATTAGAAGCTGGAAGCACCGATGCTCCCATCACATGCATATCGTTCCGTGCCGATGGCGTGGGCGCCGGTACGGATGGGCGCAAAGATGGTGTTATGGCGACCGCAACCACAGCTACAGGCGACGTCACATTTTGGGATCTCAATGGCGGTGGCCGAGTCATGAGCGTCCTGCGAAGCGCGCATAACCCTCCCACAAGTGACGGGTCTGCCGTAAGGGGAGGCATCAGCAAAGTCGAATTTCTCCCTGGCCAGCCACTTATTCTCACCAGCGGTCGGGACAACGCTCTAAAATCTTGGATTTTTGATGCCAGTCCATTCTCGCCTGTTCCCCGAGTCTTACATTCGCGCAGTGGTCATTCTGGGCCTGTAAATTGTCTGACCTTTTTGCCATCTGATTTCGATGGCGCTGAAGCGGGAAACAAATGGTTGATCAGCGGTGGCCGCGATAGGAGCCTTTGGGGCTGGAGTTTGCGCCGCGATGGTCAGAGTGCAGAGCTCAGCCAAGGCAATATTCGTAAACAGGCGAAAAAGGTTGGCATCCTTGCCACTAATGCTACTGCGCACGGCATGACTACGACACTCGAAGATCTCAAGGCACCCGAGATTACGTGCATCGCCACCTCCATCAACCGTGACGGAGGAATCGGCGCTCTGCCTGGCAAACAACCAATCTGGCAAAAGGGCGCTGCGCAAAAGAAGAAGGTGGACGCCGAAATCAGTGGTATGACTGGTTGGGAAAGTGTCGTCACAGCACACAAGGGAGACGCTTATGCCAGGACTTGGTTCTGGGGTCGCCGTCGAGCCGGACGCTGGGCTCTTCCTACCGGAGATGGATCCAATGTTTCAACGGTTACCATCAGTCCTTGCGGCACATTCGCTGTCGTTGGATCGGAGAATGGTGGGATGGACATGTACAATCTGCAGTCCGGCACTCATCGCCAGCGCTATCCTTCCAAACTGACTCCCGCACAGGCTCGTCAAGTCAAGGCTCAACAATTACGACAGGGCGATGAATCTGTATTATCACACACAAACAGCGGCCAGAAATTTCTACCTGGTTCCGGAAAACACACAAAGCCCATTACCGGCCTGGTGGTCGACTCGATGAACAAATATGTGATATCCTGTGGAATGGACGGCAAGATCAAATTTTGGGATTTTCTTACTGGAACACTTTTGGACCAGCTCGACTGGGCACCAATGACCTTCCCGACACGCTGCCGTTACCACGCCGGCAGTAACCTTCTTGTGTTCTCATGCGACGATAATTCTATCCGCGTGGTCGATATCGAAACAAAGCGGACCATTAGAGAGTTCTGGGGCCCCCAAGATACCATCAATGATATATGCTTTTCGACTGATGGAAGATGGGTCATTGCAGCCTCGAAAGATTGCCTTGTTCGGGTTTGGGATCTTCCAACAAGTCATTTGATTGACGCGATACGTCTGACTAAGCCGTGCAATGCTATTGCCATGTCAGCCACGGGCGAATACTTGGCAGCATGCGTTGAAAATGAACCAGGTGTCACATTATGGACCAACAAGGCACTCTTCAAGCATGTTGCAACGCGGCAAATATCCGAAAAAGAGATTACCGTTTTGCGCGGACCTACTGTGTCTGGCGAGGGCAACGAAGGAATTCTTGAGGGCGCTTTTGAAGATGAAGAAGAGGATACCGATGCCGACCTGGTGGCTCCTACAGTCGATCAGCTGAGCTCCGAGATGACAACACTCAGCCTTGTGCCGAGGAGTAGATGGCAAACACTCCTGCATCTGGATTTGATCAAAGAGCGGAACAAGCCGAAGGAAGCACCAAAGGCGCCAGAAAAGGCGCCTTTCTTCTTGCCATCTGCTGGCACTAAAAAGGCGCTTGCAGAGAACACAGATGGAAACGATGACGGCTCAGGCTCTCGAATTACGAAGCTCGAACAGGCTCGACTCGAGGAAGTGTTTAGTTCGAAGCTTAGGGTAGGAGCAGACAGCGGCAACTGTAAGTATTACTTTGTGCAACTCAATTTGTCTATAATACTGACGATGCTTCAGATGAGGAGTTTATTGATCACCTGAAGGGACTGTCGCCCTCAAGCGCCGACCTGGAGCTGCGATCATTGTCATTTGGCAGCGGAGGCGATGACACTAATGAACTCTTGCACTTTATCCGCGCCTTGACCTACAGACTCAAGGCGAGACGCGACTACGAGCTTAACCAAGCTTGGATGACTGTATTTTTACGACTGCATTTTGATCTTGTTCTGGGTAGTGCGTCTTTGTTGGCAGCTCTGCAAGCGTGGAAGACGCAGCAAGAGCAGGAGGGTACCCGCTTGAATGAATTGGTTGGATATTGTGGTGGTGTTGTGACTTTTCTTCGCAGCCCGAGAACATAGGCGGGCTATATATAAGCATGTACTTTGCAAGCATGTACTTTGCATATACAAAATATCACATTATGCACTATTACTGGCATAATCAACATGACCAACATTCTGAAAAAGGTTGCTCTTGCAACGAAAAGAGTGTCTACAAGTGCCATGTTTCTTCCGAATCGCTGCTGACAGGTGACTCACTCCCAGGACACATTCACTCCCGGGACACATTCACTCCCGGGATGAACTTACTCCCATGACACATTCATTTATTCACTCCAGGACTGCATTCACTCCCAGGGCGCGATCATTCCCAAGACGGCTCTTGTCTCAATCCCAGGATCCTGGATTTCCATAAGCCAGTGTCGCTTGTCAGCACGAGGAGCGCGGGCTGGGTGTAGGAACAGTAACCTCCTACCTTGAGGACTCGCCAGTGTTCGTTCATCTTTTGACGACTGTCCACGATACTGTTTCACGTTGCACGACGCGCTCTACATGGTCTGAAAGCTGCTCAACCAGGACTAAGAAGAACACAGGTCGAAGATTTAGCATCTCTCTTCGGGCGCGCGCAGCTTGATCTTTTTTGCCCGTCTTGCCAGACTATCGTTCTACAAATCTTGGCCTATCAACAACGGACTGCCGAGTTGAAAAAGCTACGAAGAGACCCGACGTGGGGCCTCAATTGTGTCATAAGTCAGGAAAGATGATGAGAACATGTAAGACTCGGTCATTACTCAGTCATATATTTCTCGCGTGTATACTAGGAATTGGGTGTTTCGGCTGGTCGTCGTGAAGAGGCTCTACATTTTCGGCAAGTTGAGCCTGCAGTTTCGCCGGGGCTTTTTAGAAAGTATATCAGTTATTACTCTCTTTACCCCAGCAATGCCAGCGACGCAGCATTTCACTAGCTCGCAGAGCTAGATAAGAATAAAAAAACTCCATTGCAGTTACCTGGCCCCTCATTTCAATATTCCTTGCCTTTCTGTGCCGGTGCTATGGCGGTGTTTCGCGATGCCGCAATCAGCAACTTTCACAGATAGCCGTTTGCACCTCACCTAGCCGTTTGCACCTCACCTTGCCCTGACCTCGTAGGCATGCGCTGCCTTGAGCATTGAAACTATACCCTCAGGCATCATTGTAGGGCTATTCTTCCAAATTCGAAGCCCTAATAGCCCACGACCACGTAATTCGACTAACTGATGGCCCGCCACGAGCTGTGAGCACACTCGCACACAACACAAACAAAAACATCGAGAGATTATCGCCATCACCACCACCACCACCGAAAAAAAAAGTCCGTTAATTATCAAAAGTCATAACTATCGGACTAGATTCTAACCATAACTTGCAGCATGTCTGACCAAATCGAGGCTGTTGCCACCGCCTTCGCCGCCGTCACCACCGACGATGCCCCTGCCCCTGCCCCTGCCCCTGCCGCCGAGGAGGATATATTCCGCCGTCCGCAAGCCTTGCCGACTAACAGTCCAGTCGACCTCTCCTACCGTGACGGTTGGGAAGACGACGAGGAGGATCCGAAAGGCGTCATCGACAGAAACAACCGTGGCTGGCATGCTGTCGAGGACTATTGGAAAGAAAGAGGCTACCCGTGCCTAAAGATCGTCGAAGATGAATTCGGAAACCATCAATTTGAACCCGTGTTGTGTCTACCGCCATCGGCAAAGAACTGTCCCGCAACAGCAGCTGAGGCAGAGACCGAGTTCCTGGTTATGGAGAAGGTCATTGGACCGGCTATGAAAGATACAGGTGGGCCAGCAGACGCCCTCGTAAAACATCATTTGGCCGGGAAAGATCCTGCTGCGATTAAGCGCTACACCATCACTGTCCCAAGAGACAAAGTGGAGGAGCATCTGGAGGCTGGTTGGAAGTTGAAGTTTGGTGTACCATGTGTCTACGCCGGGAACGATAAATATCGCGATGACAGAGCACGGCCGGAGGTGAAGCCGAAGGATTCGGTGGCTCGCAAGACGAAACTGAGCAAGTGAACTTCAGTGTGGGAAACCACCAATCCAAACAAACCTGATTTAGTATATGCAGGGGGAAACCCCTGACATAATCATTTTCTCTCATAATAGGCTCCGGTCTTGTCTCTCTGGTTGGCTTTAGCCTCACTACTCTCTGGTTGGCTCTGGCCTCACTACTCTCTGGTTGGCTTTAGCCTCACTACTCTCTGGTTGGCTCTGGCCTCACTACTCTCTGGTTGGCTCTGGCCTCACTACTCACTGGTTGGCTCTTTTGCCCGGCTACGGCCAAAAACCGCGGATGGCCTAGCCGAGCCAGCAGGCAACGTGTTGCCGGGGGTTAGAATCCCTCTCCGTTCAGGCTATTTCCGCTTTGCATGTCAACGAAGTTCTAATGTTTTTGATATCTAAGAACTAATTAACTTAGCCTTACTTATATGCAGCATGTCTGACCAAATCGAGGCTGTTGCCACCGCCTTCGCCGCCGTCACCACCGACGATGCTTCTGCCCCTGCCCCTGCCGCCGCCAATATATTTTCCTCCGAGTTCAAGCCTTCTCGTTTTGCAGTCGCGCGTGCCAGTTGAGAGTCATGGTTGCTTCCAATACGCCTCGGTGAGCCCTTCATCTTTCTGTCTAACTTCCCTGACTAGCGACTAGCTAAAAGCACGCCAATCTAGCGCGGGTACTAGGTGTTGTGCGTTTGTTTTGTATGCCTGTCAGGTAACTCGCTCCCCTCTGTCCGATGAAATACATCTCAGCCCTGTAGGTACGTCGCCCCCCCTGTCGGTTCTAGCCTGGCATACAAAACTTAGCCATCTGACTCAGGATCGGCCAACTGTGGGGAGTTTGGAAACAGCAGATCGTTCATTGCGTCCCTGGTTGGTAATATTGTGCTGGGATAGGCAGAACAGACTTCGAGAGATTGGTTGGCTGCAAGCCCCGTATTTTGTAACTAGAAAGTGCGACATATACATATATACGTTGGCCTTTTACTGCGCTCAGACGGAGACCCTAAGTTTCACCCCTTGGTTTTGAGAGCTGTGCCATGCTTGTTGTTGGCTTAGCAATAGTCTTCCAGAACTCTATCGCGGCAGAGTTCTTTCGCCACGAGTTAAGCTGTAATTGAAGGCTGCTCCATGTCATGTGAGTGCTGAGTCTCAACAACTTCCCGAAATTCTCCTGCAGGGGAAATCCGCTGTATTGTTGCGTGGCAGCCACGATCGTCGGCATGAGCGTCACCAGCTGTCGAGTGTCGAAATACACTTCTGCTGGTGTGTGGTGCTGTTCGGTCTTTCCCAGGTATTCTAGGCTGCCTCGAGCCGCTTGAGCACCTTGTCTACCACGGCATCGAAACCTTAGTGCGGTTGCCGGCCTCGGTCACTGAGAGCTGTAGTTTAGACATAAGTTCGCGCAGGTCCAAGCCTTTGGTCTGTCCCACGTTGTCCCTGATGTCGTCCCAAACGTTATAAATCCTTCTGAAGCGGCCGTCCAGAGTTTCCGTTTAAAGATAGCCTTTTCCCGCCCCGCCCCTCCAGTACCCAGTATGGTATGGCGTAAGTACCTATGATTGAGGCTACAAACTTTTGTCTCCACACTGTATTTACCACACGCAGCGCACCTACAGCTACCTTACCTAGGTAGGTAGGTAGGTAGTCTCGCGGGGCTACAGCCTTTTCCTCGTCTGGAAATTTTCTTAGCGCGAATCAAGGCCACTTCCAACCTTCATCAACCATATCCAGCGAAAATGGGCAAGTTTAGAGTGAGCAACCTTGCCAAGCACATCTCAATTGGTACGAGGCTAACAGTCTGCGATTTTACTTAGGGAAAGAATCGTCGCGGCGGCGGTGGTGGTCGCGGTGGCCAGGGCGGCGGCAACACCTGGCGTGACTACCCTCCGCTGAAGAAGGAAAACGACAAGCTCGAAAACTTTTACAATACGCTGCTGCAGCTCCCTGAAGAGGAGAAGCAGCAGTTTTGGGATGCTCTCAAGCGCGAACTTCCCAACAGTTTCCGCTTCTGCGGCTCCAAGGGGTATGTATTCGCAGGCACGCGCACCAAGTTTTGCGCCTGGCTGTAAAGGCTGTCGCATTTTACCTCACTGACCACCGACCCATTAGACACGCTCTGGCCGTCAAGAGACTTTTGCGAACGAGATATATCCCTCAAATCACCAACATTGAGCATCAGGATGGTCGAACTGCCGAGCCGCCCATGCCTGTTCCCTGGTACCCCGACGAGCTCGCCTGGTGGATGACTACGCCCAAGAATGTCGTTCGCAAGTTCCCCCCCTTTGCCGCGTTTCAAAAATTTCTCGTTTCCGAGACCAGCGTCGGAAATATCAGCCGTCAAGAGGTCGTCTCCATGATTCCCCCAATGCTCATGGACCTCAAGCCCGGCATGACGGTTCTCGACATGTGCGCTGCGCCTGGGAGCAAGTCGGCTCAGCTGCTAGAGATGATTCACGTCGGCGAAGAATCTCGCGTGCGCAAGGTTCTGCGCCAGTTTGCGCAAGAAGACGGCCTCGTTCTGGGCGACGAGACCAAGGAGGAGGTCGAGGCCGATCTTGACGCCGACCCTTCTGACCAGGGCCGCGCCACCGGTCTGCTGATTGCCAACGATGCCGACTACAAGCGTGGCCACATGCTTGTCCACCAGCTCAAGCGCCTTTCTTCGCCCAATCTCCTAGTCACGAATCACGATGCCACCCAGTTCCCTTCAATCAAGCTACCTCCTTCGCCAAACACACCAAACAAGCCCAACTACTTGAAGTTTGATCGCATTCTCGCCGATGTGCCTTGCTCTGGAGACGGAACGCTTCGTAAAAATGCCAACTTGTGGAAGGACTGGCAGCCGGGTAGTGCTCTGGGTTTGCACGCTACACAGATTCGCATACTCGTACGCGCACTCCAGCTCCTCAAGGTTGGTGGCCGCGTCGTATACTCCACCTGCAGCATGAACCCTGTTGAGAACGAATCAGTCATTGCGTCTGCTATTGAACGTTGCGGCGGCCCTGATAGCGTTGAGATTATCGATTGCAGCGACCAACTTCCTCGCCTCAAGCGCGTTCCTGGCATGAAGGAGTGGAAGATTATGGACAAGGGCAACCGCATCTGGAGCTCTTGGGAGGAAGTGGAAGAATTCGCCAAGGAGAGCAACGAGGGTGTCATTCCTGGTCGGGTCTCCCAGTCCATGTTTCCCAAGCGCGAGGGATCCGACGCCTACGGTCTGCCTCTGGAGCGTTGCATGAGAGTCTACTCTCACCTACAAGATACTGGTGGCTTCTTCATCACGGTTCTCGAGAAGAAGTCTGACTTCAAGGCCAAGAACGAAAACGTGCGCAAGGCCGCCGCGACAGCCGCCAACGGTGACGACAAGGCTCCTGCTAATGAGACTGAGGAGCCTGCTCAGACGGATACCGCGCCCGAGGCCGAGAAGCCTGTCCAGGCTGAACCCGCTGCTGAGACGACAGCCGAGCCCGCCGCCGAGGATGTCAAGATGGAGGACGTTAACGGCACCTCCAACAAGCGTGCGCTCGAGGAGGAACCAGCTGAAGCTGAAGCTGCCAACAAAAAGGCCAAGACGGAAGGCGACTCGTCTGCGGCTGCCACGCCCGCTGCTCTCAAACCAGACCCTACGCACAAGCAGCAGAAGAAGCAGGGCCCTCTCGAGGAGCCCTTCAAGTACCTGGACCCTTCACACGCAACCATTCAAAACATTATTGAATTCTACAAGCTGTCGCCGCGCTTCCCTACCAACCGCTACATGGTGCGCAACGAGATGGGCGAGCCGGCCAAGGCCATCTACTACACGACAGCGCTGACGCGCGACATTCTAACGGAGAACGAGGGCCGCGGCATCAAGGTTATCCATGGCGGCGTGCGCATGTTTATGAAGCAGGACGCGCCGTCGGCCGAGGTGTGCCGGTGGCGGATCCAGTCCGAGGGCATGCCTATCCTGCAGGGCTACGTGGGCGAGCCGCGCGTGGTGCGGCTGACCAGCAAGGAGACGCTGCGCAAGCTGCTCATTGAAATGTTTCCCAAGATAAGCGACGGCGCCTGGGAGCGCTTCGACGAGATTGGCCCGCGGGTGCGCGACGTGGGCATGGGCTGCTGCGTGCTGCGCATCGAGCCCGACGGGACGGACCCGGACTTTAGCGAGGCCATGGCGCTGCCGCTCTGGAAGAGCATCCACTCGCTGAACCTGATGCTGCCTAAAGAGGACCGCGCGGCGATGCTGCTGCGCATCTTCAACGACACGACGCCGCTGATCAACATTGCGCAGCAGCTGCAGCAAAAGGCAGAGGTGGCCAAGAAGGAGGCGGCGGCGGCGGAGCAACAAAAGAAGGAGTTGGAGGAGGAGGAGGAAGGTGGTGATGGAGAGGTGGAGGTGGATCAGACGCTGGAGCACGAGGACGTGGAGGACCTGCCTAGCCCGGAATAGAAGACGGAGCAAGGCGCAAAGTCTGCCCTTTGGTCGATTAAACCATGGCTCGGATGAATTAGTGGAATGAAAAAAAAAGAAGGGGACGAGAGGAGGGGGAAAGTCAAGAAAGAATAAAGGAAAGGACAGAAATTGGTAGTCATATTGTGAGGATTTAAATGGAGTTTTCCTCTTGTAATAAAAGTATAGATTTTCAGGACCTTCTTTCGTTTCCATGACGGACTGGATGTATAGTCGAAAGATGATAAGTAAAGAAACATGTTTATTGGCTACTATACAAATGATCAAGACATATAAATCATCATCATCTATTCCATCAGTGTAGAAATATGCCAATGTACAAAAATGTTTTACAAAATATACTACAACTATTCATGTCATGTAGCGCAACGCGCCCCTCATTCTTCTTACATGCTTTTCCTACCTGTTAAAAAAATAAATTCTACAAAAGACCAAATGTACGCCGCCCGCCCCCATAATAAAAAGGCATCCCATTCTCCCAACCCTACTCCTGATTGAGCAGGCCAACCGTCCAATGCACGATGCGCTGCACGCCCTGCCCGTGAATGGCACTCACCGGAATCGCAGCGCAGTCCTTGACCCAGGCGCCGTCGACCACACCGCTCGGGTGCGGCTCGGCGCCGCTCGTCACCGACGCCAGATAGCGCTTCAGCGCCGCAAAATTGTGCTGCGTGTCGGGCTGGTCCGCCTTTGTGGCGACGACGAACCACGGCTTGCCGGCGGTGTGCATGGTGGGCGTCGTGGTGGACGCCTGCAAGACGTGCTCCTGGGGCGGCATCATGAGGTTGACGGTGCCGCTGGTAAAGGGTTCCTCGGCCTCGTCGGCGTCGGGAATGGTGGCGGCGCGCACGCGCTCCTCTTCGTCGCGCATGGTCGCGTAGAGGGCGACTTCGCGCCACAGCGCTTTGAGAGCGGCGACGGCGTCGCCCGCGGATAGGTCGACCACAAAGGCCAAGACGCCCGCGCGCTCGACGTGTCGCAGAAACGCGATACCGAGGCCCCGGTCGAGATGGGCGCCTTCAATGAGCCCAGGAATGTCGGCTACCGTGAACCTCGTGCAGGCCTCTTCCTCGTTCAAGCACCCGTCCGCGTCGTTAACAGTTCCGACCTTGGTTTCCTCGGTGCTGCGCCGCGGCCGGCGCAGCGCCCAGCGTTGTCTCCCTTCGTACTTGTCTAGCACCACGGTGCCAATGTTGGGCACGAGCGTCGTAAACGCCCAGTTGCCGACGCGCGCGCGGCTATTCGTCAGGGCGCGCAGCAGCGTGCTCTTGCCGGCGTTGGGCAGCCCGACGAGGCCAACGTCGGCGAGCAGCTTGAGCTCGAGCGAGATGCGCAGCGTCGGGGCGGCTTCGCCCTTTGTGGCGAAGAGCGGGCGGCGGTGGGAGCGCGAGATGAAGTGCGAGTTGCCGAGGCCGCCGATGCCGCCGGCGGCGAGCAGGATGGGCCGCGGCGTGGGCCGTGAGAGGTCGAGGTAGATGGGACCGGGGGGTTGCTGGAGAAGGCGCGTGCGGCGCGGGAGCGGTGGGAACTCGGCGGCCTTCATGTCCGTCTTGGACATGCCCGGGTAAAGCAGCCACTTGTCGCGCTGGGGGTCTTCAGGAGGCTCGTCTTCCTCTATCTCGCCAGCCTCTTGCTGCAGATGCTGCGCGAGCTGCCCGTGTCTTTCTATGCCCGCGAAATTGCGCAACCCTTTTACACCCACCGCCGCCGCCTCCTCATCCTCCTCATCCTCCTCATCCTCCTCGGCCTTTGTCTTCTTATTCTTCTCATTGGCCTGCCCGGCGTGCTTTTCCATCTTTCTCTGCTGCAGCATCCGCGTCTCCATCTCGTGGACGGCGCGGCGCCGGGCCTTCATGACCTGCTGGTAGGCGCGGACGCGAACGCCTTCGTCAGCGACGGGGTCTTGGCGCTCGAGCTCGCGGACAATGGTGCCGACGGGGACGGTGATGATGACGTCGTCACCGCGGACGCCGCCCTTGGAGCTGCCCTGGCCGTTTTGCCCGTGGCCGGCGCGGACGAAGCGGCGGCGGGCGACCTTGTGCAGGGACGTCTGGCCGTGGGCGGCCTGTATGTAGACGTTGCCGCCAGCGCCGCCGTCGCCGCCATTGGGCGGGCCGTCGGGTAGGTAGGCCTCGCGGAGAAAGGACACACAGCCGTTTCCGCCACGACCGGCGTAGATGGTGATTTCGGCATTGTCAGTGAAGCTGGAGGCGGCGTAGTCGTCCGGAGCGGGGTTGAGGCGCGATTCGGGCAGGTCGTTGCGGGTGGTTGTGGTGTCACCGGCGGTGGTGCTGACGCAGCGGCGTGGTGATGAGCCGTCGTGTTTGACGGGTGTGGCGCGACAAGAGGAGGGTGATGCTGAAGATGATTTCGGTTTCAAAGTCGAAAAGTGTAGAGAACAGCGGGGCGTGGCAAGGGCGAGAGTCGGGTAGTAGAGAAAGGGGACGAGAGTGGTGGCCGTCAGCATGGCAGAGCCAGTGGGCGGGCGACGGCGAGCGACGACGGCGGCCATTGAAGCAGTGCGGCAGTCAAATGAAGCTGCTGACGAATGGGTAGATTGCCGCTCCTTGGTGTTCTGGCATGTGCGGGTTTGGTGGCCGCGGTGCAGGCCGACTGAAGCTGTATCGTATCTTGGTGATGCAATGGAAGGTCCCGTTTGTCTTTCTTTTCATCCTTTTTTTTTTGGTCGAGGCATGTCTAATTAGGTTAGCGAGATTAACGCAGCGGTGTTGGTGGGGCCGGCATGCCGTTGGTGGGCCAGTTGAAGCTGAATTTGGTGCTGAAGACTGCTGTGGCACGCCCCTGTAGCTGCCAGTTACTGCTGTCCACTCTAATACAGCTGTTTTTTGGTGTCGAAGACTGCTGTGACACGCCTTTGTAGACTGTCAGTTACTGCTGTCCATGAGTAACCCAATGTTATTCGGGTCTGCCATTTGTTACACATTATCCAGACACATTCACGATGAACAGTTCAGGCACACAGACACGCGGTTTCTTTACTACATATCTACGTTACCTGGTTTTTTGCAAGTCATCCTCAGCATCGCTATAGATTTTGAAACTTGGTTCAAGCCCATTTAAGCGCCAGCAGGACATCTCTGTGCCACTCTCTCCCCGATTCACTAAATGACATCAAACTCAAAGAAGATGTTCCTGGCACTCATTCACTCTGTGTCACCGCCGGGAGGGCACCTTTCTTCTCCCCCAATGGACCAGTTTCTGCACTGGCAAGTCAGCTGTCCTCGAGCTCACCTCTCCTACCCTGCCTACATGAAGCATCAACCTATTATATCATTTTGTCGCCCCCCCCCTTTCCCCTTGACTTCCTAGTCGAGGCACGCATAGTAACTGCAGGTTGTGCCCAAAATGGCGTGAGTGGCTTCCTAGATATGTACCTACCTAGTTTGTTTAATCCCACACATGACTTTATTAGTGACTGCTCATCACATCTACACACAAGGCAGGCCCTTCACTTTCACTCCCGGTACGCGCACTTCAAGGCCACACCCACATAAAAATAATGTCCGCTTTCCAAAGCGTGTCGCCTGTGCCACTGTTACCTCGTACCTGCCTGTCCGTCTAACTTTCCCGTCTGCTGGTGGTGCGCGCGACCTTGTGTGCTACGCTTCGCATCGGCCTCCACCTCATCACTGCCGCCTCTAACATCCTTTGCATCCTTTGCATCCTTTGTAGACCATCTTTACCGTGGCCTTGTTTTCTCTCCCCCCCCCCCCTTCATGCTTCACTCGATAGTTTCATAGAATCCTTCCATCCATTCACAGCTGCGGACTGTCCCCTGCATGGTCACCACTGCAAGCCCATGACTCTTTCTTACCTTGCTCGCAGTCTAGACCCCATTCCACGTTTCGCCATACAGCGATACGCTGATATGATATACCACGTTTCTTGCTTGTCTACATTGGCTGACGTTTATATATAATGCTCGGGTAACCCCCGCCATCAAGCCTTTTCATTGCGTCTTTTTTTTTTACCTAGATTTTGCACAGTATCTATCTTGTCATATCTCTTCTCTCTGCCTGTTCTCTTTCCCCGCCGCGCAACACCACTTTCTACCTTGACCGCGCGCTGCGCTGCCGTTCCCGCCATCGTTGCACAAGGCGTCAAGCGGCTCTCTCTTTCTCTCTGTCAAGGGAACTCGGCGACACTTGTAGCGTTCAACAAGTGTAGCTCTGTTCGGGAAGAAAAAAACAAGGCCATATGATCAAGATTTGTGCCTAAACTGTCTCGCTTTAAAGTCGAGCTTTGCCACGAGCGCGGCCGTGGACCGCGAAACCCTGAATTGAGCAAATTTTTTGGACATTCAACGGTTGCAAGAGTATTGAGAAAAGAAAAGCAGCAAAAGAAAAGAAAAGAAAAGAGGGGAAAAAAAAAAAGAAAAGAAAAAGAAAAGGTTTTATACAACATTCCACAGCCATGATGGGCTCTGCTGGCGGCTCTGCTGGCTCTGGCACCGCGAAAGTCGACCCAGCCTGCGCCGTCTGTCAAGCCCCTGCCAGTCAGCTATGCGGCTGCGAGGCTCATGCCCTTGAAGTCGCCCTCTCCCAAGCTGAAGATTTATATCTTCCACCTGCCATGCGCAGTATTCGGTACGTTTTTTTCTTCTTCTTTTTCTTTTTTTTTCTCTTTTTTTTTTCTTCTTCTTTTTTTTTTTTTTTTTTTTCTTTCTTCAACACCACTTTCACTCACACCACTAACATCAACAGCTCCTGGGTCCGTCGCAACGCCCGCGACTACATCCTCGGCTACTTCCACACCCTCTCCGAGCCCTGCAAGGACGCCTACGCGTTGCACCTCGACACCATCAAGGCCACTTGCCTTGCCCGCTCCGGCCCTTCCAGCCCCGGATCCGGCTCCGGCTCCGGCTCCGGCAACAACAACAACAACAACAACAACACCAATGTCCACGTTGCCCGTGCTCGCGCAGAGTACCACCGCAACATTGACCGCGCCTGGGCGCTCGCCGTCAAGCGCTACCCCGAGGTCCTCAACCACTTTTACTCCCTCGTTCGCATCACCCTGCCTGGCGACGACGACCCCGCCATGAAGCGCGTGCCGGGTTTCGATCGGCCGCCTAAGGCGGGGGACAAGCGGCAACGCGCAGATCGCCGCAAGCCCCCTGTGCGTTCACGGTACGGACACACCCCGTCATCGCCGCATTTTCCGGCGCCGCCGCAGTTTCCGGCGCCGCCGCAGTTTCCGATGACGCCGGCGTCGTCTAAAGCACCACCACCTATGCCACATATGCCCCCGCCGCCGCCGCCGCCGCCGCCGCCACACGTCGCGCACTGGCAAACGCCTCCGCCGTCGCCACCATAGTTTAGGCTAGAATCGCAGAATGCGTTGATCACGTTTCTTGATTCTCTACATCCTGACTTGTCTATATAGGCCTCTGCTGGGGGCTACTACTCTTCCAGGATAGATCAGATGGAAGAAAACGGCACACACAAAGGCTGGGACGAATACTTTTGTATCTCTAACAAACAATAACGATGACACGAAAACGGAGTCTTTAGGGTTATTCCAGGTTTATTTTTGTTCTTATCTTTGGCTGAGCAGGTTCTGCCACCACCTCGGATGCATCTCACACGGCGTTATATCTCTTTGCAAAGACCTGACAAGATAAAAAAAAACTGGACATACATTTCACAGGCCTTCTTACTAGCATCACTCTACTTTTTTCTTCTTGTTTATAGCTAATTTTCAATTTCTTCATTTTATTAATTTACCCTCCTCGCAACTCATTTCCCTCTTTTCACATTCGCTGCATCTCTTCTCTGTAAAAAAATCTGCACCTTTTGAAATCTGTACCTTTTTGAACCCAAATCAAACGCTCCCCATGAAAAATCTCTGCCTTCTTTCTTCGCCTTTTTTTTTTATATTCGTACACAACTGAGCATCCGCTTCGGTATACGCCAAAAAGAGTAGATGGTAAAAGGACAAGGAAAATTGAAAAATTTTTCTGCAACTCAAAAGGAAATGGACGGAAATCAAAAACTCATGACATGGCGGGTGGAGAGTTTTATGCTGTATTGTCGTGGACATGTACGGGTGACGGGATGCAGGCAAAAGCAGCCCTTGCTCCTCCGTAGAGAAGCTCAGTCGACTCAATCGAGTCGCTTAGGCCTCCTCCTTCTCGGAAATGGTGGCCTTGCTGAGATCCTCGGCAACCTTGTCCGTCTTGTCAGCCTTGTCGCCGTTGGTGCCCTCCTCGTCAGTCTTGTCAAGCTCCTCGATTCTCTTCTTAGCAGCATCAATGTTCTAGTGCATGTTAGCATCTTGATCCCCCAAAAAGCATAGTCGTGCAAAGATTCTTACCTTTTGGGTCTGGGCGGCCTGGTCACTCTTCCAGCTGTTGAGCTTGGCCTGGACCTTTTCAATGACGCCCGGCACGTCCTCGGCGCTCATGGGAGGGTCAATTCCCATAAAGGCACAGTCCTCAACGACAGAGGGAGGGCAGTTGTAGCCCTTGGCGGCAGTGCTGGCACCGCTCTTCTTACCCTTCTTGCCCTTCTTGGCGGCGGGGAGGTACTCCTCCTCGCGGTCCTCCTTCTTCTTGAGAGCGGTACCCTTGAGGCCAGAAGCGTCAACGGTACGCTGGGCCTGGGCGGTCAGGCCACTGGCAGCCAGCAGAGGAGTCTTCTCGGCCGTCTTTTGGCTGGGGTCGAGAAAAACGAGCAGGTTGTTGGCGCGGCGAATCTCCTCGAGAAAGGCAGGGTCGCTGGCCTCGGAGAGGAGACGCTCGGCCTCGGCCTTCTTGCGCTCAAGGTGATAGCGCTGGTTCTCGGCCTCGCGACGCTCGCGAGCCTTTTCGCGAGCCTCGCGCGCATGAACCGCGGCAGCCTTTCTCTGCGAGAAGTAGTCGTCCCTGAGCTTGCGAATGGCCATAAAGGTCTCCTGCTGCTCGGCATGGAGCTTGGTGCGCTCGTCACGCAGGCTCGACAGGCTCTTGTAAGCAGTGTCTTGCTCAGCCTTGATCTGGTCGAGCTCGGCCTGGATCTTGTTGTACTGCTCGGACATGGCCTTTTGCTCGGGATCCTCCATACTGTCCTTGATCTCCTTGATCTTGGCGCGCAGCTCATCAATCTGCTTCTGCGAGTCATCAAACTGGCCAAAGGTCTTGCGAATCTTGCGCAGCGAGGAGATGTCGGTGAGGGCCTTGCGCTCGTCGACGAGCTTCATGGTGCCCGAGTTGACCTGGGAATCGAGGTGGGCAATCTGGCGATCGACGTCCTCGACGCTCTTGTAGGGAACCTTGGCCTTGGCGGTCTTTTGCTCAGAGATGCGGCTGCGAACCTGCTCATCGAGACGCTTGATCTGATCGAGCTTGGAGGTGCGGGCGTTCTTGCCTCCGGCTTGCTTTTGGCGAATTTCGTTGGCCTGAGCGATGAGTTCCTGGCGGCGCTTCTGGGTGGGGTTGGGCTGATCCTTATTCTTGTTGGGCGTGGCAAGGTCGATCTTGGCCCTGACAGCGTTCTGTTCAGATGTCGGGTCAGCAGGTGGTCAAATAGGAGATGGCGCACACGCGCTGGCCAAAGGGCACATCGCAGTTTAGGCATTGAGTCGTCCTGGGACTTTTTCTGGGCGTTGATTTGGATGGCACATACCAGACGGTCCATAGCAGCCTTGTGCGCCTTTTCGGCCTTTTCGAGTTCGGCCTTGAAGACATTCTCGTCGGGCTTCTGCGGGCGAGACCCAGCAGGGGCGGAAGCGGGAGCGGAAGCGGTAGCGGTCTCGGCAGCCATTGTATCGGCGGGATGAAGTTCAGAGAGGTTCCCAGTGAAGCGAGGTCCGATCCGAGATTACAAAGGTCTTCTGTTGCAAAATGACAAGAAGAACAGAGACAGGTTGTTGGAAAAGGTCGCCAGGATGAGGAACTGACAAAGTTGGTGGACAGATGGGAAAAAAGGGCCAGCTGGGCTTAAAAAAAGTGGTCAATGTGCAACGCTGGTCTCGGCCCTTCCCCCACCAGTTACAGTGGCGCGAACAGGAACTCTATCCACGTTGTCTCTTGGTGAAAAAAGGGTCTTTTTTTTTTATGGGAGCTGTGGCTCGAAAATGTAAAGTTCATGTGCAACTATTCGGATTTTTTTTTTGCCCAAGTCTCTCTTTTCGAGAAGCATTTAAACAAGTTTGCTGGCCATTTGAATTGCGGCTGGGAGATGGATTAATTTACACTTTTGTGGGCGTACAACCTGACAGCGTCGCAGCAGGCGAGCCCGGAGATGGCTGTCCTGAAAGCCGGGCACCGCGAAGCTTCACATGGCAGCATTGCATATTGTACAATGCACCTGAGCGACCTGAGGAATTTGGATCGACATTATGCAGTCAGACAAACCAAGCCCGAAGGCTGCCTACCCGCATGTAAGTTGGTAGGTAGTTGTCAAGCCGGGCAACGTAGAGTACTGAAACTCAGTATCCGTACGGATTAGTTGAAAGCAAAAAGGTCCCTGTGGGGCTCTTCCAGGAACAATCAACGAATCACATGACCCGTTCCGCCAGAAATTCTCAGCGCCGCGCGAACCTCACGACTGGCGGCGATATGCGATAGCAACTTTTTTCCCTTTACCCTTGGTCTTAAACCACTTTGACACCAACCCAGCGGCAAATCTCGACCTCTACTGCCGCCGAAACTGCATTTTATTCTCACTCCTAACCATTTTTTTCTGATTGTTGCCTTATTTTTCTCCTCCTGTTTCTATAATTCCGTACACCCGCCACGATGGATGACCTCCCCAACGATGCGCGCTCCAAGGAGGTCGTGAGGCTCTGGAGAGCATGGAAGACGGTGCACGAAATGGTTGCCGACCGAGTACGACTTTCCTCTCTCCCCTAGATCCAGCTCCTGGCAAGAAATCCGCGCGCGCGAAGGAAGCTAATAATCTTTTGTTCTTCTCTTTTTACAGGATTACGAGCTCGCCCAAGACGAAATCAACATTTCCCTCGACCGCTTCCGCAGCGAATTCTGCAACCCCGACGGCACCGTCAACCGCGCCAAGCTGCAATTCTCCGCCCGCCCCTCGGACGCCATGCTGCGCAAGCACACGCCGCCCGCCACCGACGCCAACCCGGACCCCGTGCCCGACTGCGGCCCCATCTGGGTCGAGTTCCTCGCCGACAAGCAGTTTGGCGTCGCGCAGATTCGGCAATTCGCAAAGTACACCATTACCAACAACTACAAGACGGGCATCATGGTCACGCACGTTGCGCTCTCGCCCGCCGCCCGCAAGTCGCTCGCCTCCGTCGAGAACCTCGCCAAGATTGAGTGCTTTCTGGAAGACGACCTGCTCGTCAACATTACTCATCATGAGCTCGTGCCCAGACACGTTTTGCTGTCGCGCGAGGAAAAAGTGGCGCTGCTTAGGCGGTACAGGCTCAAGGAGACGCAGCTGCCGAGGATTTTGGCCAAGGACCCCGTCGCCCGCTATCTGGGGCTTCGGCGCGGGCAGGTGGTCAAGATTATCCGCGTGAGCGAGACGGCGGGTCGGTATGCTAGTTACCGACTATGTGTCTAACTATGCGAGAGAGAGAGAGAGAGAGAGAGAAGAGGTATTTTGCCATGTTACGGGTCGGTCGTTTTTACGGGGTAATACATATTTTCCAGTTTCTTTTGACATTGATTCCAAGCGCAAAGTAGCTAGGGATCTAGCATATATGAAGAAAAACAATCAATTAAACATACATGGTCGAAACCTGCCCAAGTTACATTACCTTGGTGTAATTGACATGTAAAGCACCGCGGCTCGATACCAAAAGACATCACTCCAGTGTAATTGGCACATAAAGGATGATTATAGATGCAAAAACTACCAAATATAAATGTAAATGTTATACACTGACACATTTACTTGGTATCAACAGTGCCAGGACATGGCAATGAAAAGACCAAAATCCGATGAATAAAAAGTCACAACGTGTATTTGGTATCAGGTCATTACTCGTTGCACCACAGCCCATGTGCATCCCTATCAAAATGGTCCGTTTTGAATGTCCCGTATCCCAAAAACAAGAGGAAAAAAATCACCCAGGGTATATATGCGCCAAAAATGTGCAGAGACTAATGTATCCAAACCCAATGTAAACGCTCTGATTCATTTTCCATGGTGGATGCCCTTGAACTCAATCATTATAATTTACAAACAGAAAAGAAAGAGTCGTTGCGAGATGTGTCGTTGAATTAGAGAGGGTCGGTATGTTGACTGGCTCAGTCAAAGGGTATGTGTGTTTGATGCTCTTCAACACACCATTTTGGAATCGCCAGAGATAGTCTACAAAGGCTCTGGCTGCTTTCGAGGGTGGTCTTGCAGTTCATAAGCCGACTGTGGAATAGGTTGCAGCTCGGTGCCAGTGTTTGATATAGGGCGACCGGAGCGCGCCGAGCGGTTATTTAGCGGGCTGAACAAGACGCCAAGATCTGACAAGAGCGCCGTTGAACCGCGCCGCAAGCCAGTCGAACTGGCAGGGACGGCATTTGCCGGAACGCCGTGGGAAGAGCCGGGCCCAATGGTGGATGAGGTGTGGCTATCACGGCGATAGCTGCCGCTGCTTGTTCCCACAGAACCATCTAATAAGCCTCCGACATCGAAGAAAGTCATCTTCTTGCCCCCTTGGTGGGAGTCTGTCTTTGAGAGGCGGTCGTCGGGGAGAATGGCATCGTCGCTGGCCGCTTCGCCGCTCAATGTACCGTTATGACGGGCCCAATCCCCTTTGAAGTCGGCAGGTTTGGCCACGATGGCGCGGTTTGGGGTTTCACGCAGCTTCGGGTCGACAGCCAGGCCGACGTCTCTGACTAGATCCTCATCACTACCCCAGTGTTGGTGCAGGGCGGGCCGTCGCGGGGCGCTACCGCGGTCAAACGAGTCAGCGGCCGAGTTGCGGCGAAATTTCTGCTTCTTCAAACCCCGGTCGCGGACAAATGAGCCAAGGACCAGAGCATTGGCGGAGGCTGTGGCAAACAGAATTTCGACCGAGGCAAGGAGTGATCGATATTGCTGGCGTCCGTCGTTCCAAATGATGTGCGGGACTCGATATAGTGTAACGCAAACAATGGATAGGCTGAGAGAAAATAGTAGCACAAGCTGGATCTTGCGCTTGAGCTGCATGTGGCTGTGTAGGATAATGGGGATGGGGAAGATTACGAGCAAGAGGTCGGTCAGGACGTTGCAGGTGGCCATGGTGAGGAGCTGGACGTAGCCCTGACGGCACTGGCCACCCGGATCGGGCAAAACTTGCCAGTAATGGTGAAAGGGTCGGCATTCGGCCAGATCGCTAATGACGACGGCGATAAAGGTGGCGAGCAGGGTCCATCGCAGGGCCACCATGGTGGTTTGGTAAGATCGTTGCCAGGTAATGCCTGTGATTCGACGGAGAAACTCGAGAATGGCGCATTTGAGAACCCATAGTCTATATATCGAGGTCAGCACGCTAACTGGGAGGAAAGAATGTCGAGACATGTAGAGGGCGTTGAGCTTACGTAGCAGCATAGAAGAAGCGGCTGAGAAGGACAAGACCACTAGCTATGCTCTTTTTATGCAGCTGCTGGGTTGATAGTATGACGCCCGTGAAATCTGCATTGTTGGTGCCGTGCAGGAGAATATAGTGGACGCAAGCCATGCGCAGGGCGAGGGGGATGATGGCGAGGGCGGCAATTTTGTCCTCAAGAAAGAGACGCTCGGTGCGGATAAAGCGGCCAGCGACGCGCAGGCAGATCATGACGGCGCAGAAAGACGTCATCCACCAGCAAACGAGCAGGGTGGGCTTGTCATGGCGAAAGGGCAGCAAGCTGGGAGGGTCCGAGTAAAGCGTCATGGTGTCGGGAAGGGAGCCGCGCCCGCCGTCCCTCCGGGGAGGATGCGACGAGCGAGGTGGGAGGGTGAAGAGGTCAGCGAGTGATGAGCTTGATGTCGTAAGGCGGGGCAATTAGAATGGCGTCGCCTGTGGTCTTGGAGCCAGGATGGGTGCTGGCGCAGCGGCCGGGGTGTCATGGGCCTGCAAGTTGATTATATGGCGGGCATGAGACGGAGGCGTGATGGCGAGGGCTTAGAAACGGCGGCGTATGTGGGAGCAAAAAGGGCCGATGCATGGAGCGTTGGAAACGGTCGAAAAGAAAACAAGTACGGAGTAGAGGAGCTCCAAGACGGCGGTAGGTAAATTTAATATTGCGTGTGGCAAGTTGGGTAATGCAGGTCTTGTCAGGTCGATTGGTGCAGCCAACTGGTAGGCAGGCAGGTAGCAGGCTGGCTGGTGGTCGGTCGGCTGGTAGGTACTCCGTACTAATAGTGAAATAGGTGGCAGGCGGAACTGGGCGTTGCGCAGCTGTGGCCGAGGTCGGGCGGACTAGCGGGCAACAACGCAGAAGCAAAAAAAAAAAAGAGCAATTGCTACATCCGCGAGCGCAGACGGGACGATGTAGGAGAAATTGCAGGAAAAGAAAGCGAGCGCGCGATGATTGAAAGAAGCAGCGGTCGAGGATTTGCAGAGTGTAGAAAACAAAGAAGCCAGAAGCTTTTGCGGAGGCGGAGTCATTGTCGAGTCGAGTGGATACCTATCATCGGAGACGAACGAGGCCGTGGGCGGTGGGCGTGGAGTCGTCTTGGAGAGAAGGCTCAGAAGGCTTGGGCGAGTGGGAATCGAGAGGCACGCTAATAAAGAGGGCGCGCCTGCAACAAGATTAGTTTATAATTTGACAGTAATAAAAGAGCTGCCATGCGAAAAAGCGAAGGGGGTGTAGTACTTGAGCCACTTGAAGTATCAGTAATGTCTAATGCAGCGGAACAGGTGGCTGCCTGTCGTTCTTGCACGGAAAGAGGGGCGTATCTAGGTAAATACAGCCTACAGGTAGGTACCCAGGTGGGCATGCAGGATAAGTGGTGGTGGTGGCGCGGTGCCCGAGAAGCCGCGAGCGATGATGATCATGTAGTCTAGCAGCACATTGCTGGTCTGAATTGGACAAAGTGGAAAGGCATCGAGGCTTTTGCGGCACTTTCAAACGCCGACAAGCCAAGTGGCTATTGATATCGCTGTTTAGGTAGGTACGGACTAGTTAGAGCCTCGTTAGCAAAGGGTACTAAGTATTGGCTGGTGGGGAAAAGCCATGTCATGATGCGCGGCGCGGCGCAACAACCAACCGACCTACATGGTCGTTTGCCTTTTTTAGAAGAATACTTTTTTTTTTGAATTTTTGATGGCGTGCCAGGTACAGGGAGGGCCCCCCGGCCAAACGACTTACGCCCGGTTTATGCGCTCTTGTTCATCCATACTCAATGCACGTCACAGGATTCTTCATCAGCGCTTCCGTCAGTCCCGTCGCCTCACTATGAACAACTTTTTCCTGTGCTCGAACAAGGCAAAGGAACTAGCCGGTCATCAATGTTTCGAGCGTTGGGGCTTCTCTGTCAGAAAACTTCAGATGATGTCGCGTATCCAAAACTTAAAAAAGGATTCAAAATTTGCACATAGCACAATCCCACGTTTCCATCCCGCTACCTTAGTCTGGAACCGTTGGCACGAACAGCAGCCCAACAGCCTACACTAATATTTGACACTAATCTTTGGCTCGCGCTGGCGTAGCATTGTGCCACAGGTACACAGGTACCTCCCTTGGTACGCTGGCCCTCGAGTACCTATTTCTCTGCAAATCACCCATAGGTACCTTACAATCGCTCATACATTGCTGACCTCCTATCAGCAGTGCGACGGTAAGTAGCGATACCTCGCTTGCTCGCTAATAATCTGCATTTCCACCCAACCAACCGTCGCAACCGATAATGCCTCGAAATTTTGTTGGTTGTCCGCCATTCAACATGCATGCATGCCGCTTAAACACCATTCGACTTTTTTTTCCCTCGTTTTTCTACCATTACTTATTCTTCTTCAATATTGCTGCATGACGGGCCAGCGGCCGCTTTCCCAAGAAAGAGCATCGTTGCGAGAATAGTTATGCAAAGGACCCGTGTCACGAGATGATTTCTCCTCCTGATTCGTGTCACCAAATCTCCCTCCCGCCTCCGTCATGATCCCGCCTGTGTGCCCCTCCACCTCTCACCAGCCTGACTGAAATGAAACCACGAGTCAGAGCCTGCAACCTGCAACCTGCGGCGTCCCACGGCTTCTACCAAAAAAAAAAAAAAGATTGCTTCGACCGACTCCTCACTAGAGACGCCTCCCTCAGCCATCGCGCACCGCGCGCGCCTCAAACGAAGCGTATCAGGGAAAAAGACTAAAAGAAAAACCCCCACCATTTGACTGATAACGTCGACGCCAGGCCAGACTTGAACTAATTCCAACGCCGAGCGCTGGGGTGCAGGACACTAGTCGACGCCTCTCGACCGAGTAGTTGACGCCATGATAAATTTACCAAGGAGACTTGTCGTTATCAACGTGACAACGCCTCAGTCGGGCGGCCTGCTTCATTACCCCAGAGCCAAGCTATGCCATGTAATGTATTATGTATACGCACAATCACTCATCATCGGGCATTCCCTCTTCAGTAAGTATCCAAATTATCCCGCTCCGTATCACCATCCAGCCACCACCGCTCGGCATATTCCAGGCTTGCCCTCTCCCTTTTCTTTCCACTGCCACGCTGCCACGGTTGACCTGTGCGTTTTCTAAGGTAGCTCGTCCTCGTCAGAAGCTGAACTTTGTGTGTTGCTTACGCATTGTCCATAACCAGCGAGCGAGGCTCGTTCATTATGACCCAGCGCCAGGCGTTCGCGGCGAGCACTTCTACTTCTAACCCGTGCCATGCCTCTTGCTCATGTTGCGCACTCGCCGCGCCTTTTTGCCATCCTCCTAACCGCCTTGTTTTATTTCCGGCCGCATGATTACTTTTTTCCCCCTCTCAGGCGGCTCGACGACCCAGTTCTGCAAGGCGTTAAACCGGGCCCTCCACGTCGGTGTGCCTGTCTGTCTTGGCAACTTGGGGTTGTAAATAAACCCCGGCGACTCTAAACGCCTCTGATTCACCCGTCACCCTAAAAATACTTGTTGACAATGACATTGCACTCTTTGTCTGGAATTCAGTCCGGGAGGCGCCCTTTGCCCTAAAAAAAAGTGAGACACATTGCATTTACCCGTCAGGCCAACTGGGATCATGCATGCCGGCCTTGCCACTGCCCATTGAGCCAGTAGCGCATCATGGCGAAACGCACACGATATTGTCCTATAAGAGATGAGTCTTGTCTCGTCATTATCCTACTACTACAAAGACTCTTTGTTTTTCTTTGTTTCTCGGCCGCAGCTCCGAGTCTCAGTGTGACCGCGTTCCGCCTCGCCTCTTATTAATTAGTCCCCCCTTCAACCCGATTCTCCGCCCACCTCGATGCCATCAGGCTGCGCATCGCTTCCCAACCTGGCAATACTGTGAGACGCATACCTCGGATCCGCCTTCATCAGCGACCTATCATATTGCTACGAGAAAAACAATTACATCGTGTACTCGTGGGTATTGAAAGTCGATTGATGACGAACAGAACATCTAAATGCAGTCGACTAAATCAATGACCTAGTTTTGCACGTTTCTTCCATCTATTGACGCGGCTATCGATCTTTTGATTCTTCAAACAAACTACATAGTTGGCCGTCTGCTTCCGAAACCGAAAGCCGCATTTCTCAATCAAATTAGTCCGCATGCGCTGATCTCGGCAAAAAAAAAAAAAAAAAAAAAAAAAAAGCAAAGGCTTTTCCTTGTCTTGGATCCCGGGATGTGAGGAATCGATGGGCCGATGGCGCAGGCGCGAGGCTGAACCCCCCAACAACAGCAACATTCCCCCGCTGCCCACACAAACCACACCTCAAACAAAGTAAGCAAAGCATGCACCTCGCAAATCTTGCCAGATGAGGCCCGATGATGGGTGGCACGGATGACGTTCCGCAAGACAATTTATCAAGGTTGAAGAAGGAAATCGGGACGTGCGTTTGCTACTCGCTACGCCCAAAAAAAAAAAAAAACCCCTTCCCGTTTTGTTTTTGAGAGTATGTGTCTAGCAAGCTGCATGACCCTGCGTCAAAAACGGAGCAACAAAGTATTCGTAGACATCTAAAGACGATATTGAGCCGTGTAGACACTCTCATCTCCATCACTTCTCTCCAGAAACGCCGGAACCTGACAACGAGAAGTGATGGCATTGAAGTATAAAAGGCAAGCACCATAGACAAAGCTTACATTCCCGCCCCAGCCTCTCTCGCATAAAGAGTATTTTTAACACTACACCAGCTGCAGCTCCTCCACCACGGCCTTTACGCTGGCCTTGTCCGCTTTCCCCCAATCCACACCCAGGAGCACATCCGCGCCGGCGCCGTCCTCGCCACTCCCCATCAGCCCCCAGAGCTCGTCAATCACCGCCATGCGCACCCGCGGCCACGGATGAAACATGAGCGCGCCAAGCCTCTTCCTCGCCTCGGGCGGCCCCTGCTCCGCCGTCTCCGCCATGGCCGCCACGCAGCCGTACACCTTGACGCAGGCAAGAATCTTGCGCACATTGCCTGTCTTGTAGCCGGCCCGCTGCGTCTGCAGGCACAGGCTGCGCAGACTGACCGTGTAGTCGGTGGTGCCGGCGCAGCGCTGGAAAAGGCCTGCGTGGAAGAGATACGCAATCACCTCGAGAGTCGGCACGACGACGCGGTCTTCGGACAGGTAGGCCCCGAGGTTGTGGACGAGCGCGCCGCACACCTGCCGTAGGTGGTCGGGCGCGGCCTGGCAAAAGGCGACGAGAGCGGCGCGGCTGGTGATGATGAGGTCCTCCTGACCCGTGTCGGCCGACGTGACGAGACCGGCCATGAGCTGCGAGGTCCAGGATACGGGATCAGACGTGGCGATGGCGGCGACGGACTTGTGCAGCTTGCCGTAGGAGAGGAGCTCGAGCAGCGTCGTAAAGTACTGCTCTGAAGAGGCGGAGAGTTGATCGAGGTTGTTTGTTTCGCTGTAGCGGTAGAGGTTAGTTGAGCATTTGGTGTGATGAGATTTGAGCAGCGTAGCAGTACCTCCTTTGTATAGTCAATGACAGCGCCAACTGCGCTTCCGGACGGACCTTGTCCAGCCTCTCTACCGACAGGCGCAAGGTTGCGTAGAAGAGCTTTTGCACCGATTGCACCACCCAGTCTTCTTCCCCAGTTGCCTCGCTGATCTGTGCCCACAGCACCTGGACCGCTTTGAGCGCCTGCACGCGTACCTGCGAGCCGACATCGCCGCGCGCGTTTGTCGTGTAGTCATTCAGGCCGTCCACCAGCAGCGGCAGGAACGCGAGCGGTTTGCTGCGTAGCAGACGCGTGCGCACCAGACTCTGCAGCAGAGCCACGCGCGTGTCCACCTGCCGGTCGGCGAGCCAGCGCGCGACCAAGGCCTCGCTCACCACGTCGTCCCACTCGCCGTGCTGCGAGGTTGCCTGTGCCAGCGGCTGCGCCATGGCCAGCGCGTGGAAGTAGGCCTGGCCAATGGTGGTGGCGCTGCTCGCGGAGCGGTATTGCACGAGCTTGGCCCATTCTAGCAGCAGCCGGGTGCGGTCCTCGTCGGTAGAGATGATCAGCAGGAGCAGAGCTGCAGAGGATGACGCGTCGACAGTCTCTGGCTCGGAAAACTCAAGCCATGTGGCAATGAGACTTTTGAGCTTCTCGGCGAATTCTGCCATAGTGGTACTTCGTGGCACGTTCTTGCGGACGATTTGAAGAAATTTGATGACCTTCATGCCGGAACTGCTAGGGGAGAGAAGTTTCGCTCCAGACTCGAGGACTTCATCTCGCGTGTTGTAGCCGATTGACGCTTGTAAAAGAGGCGTGGTAGATACAGTGACTCGGCTCGCTGCCTCCGCGATGAGCTCTGGCCGCCTATACGTTGTATCGTGGCAATCCTGCAGGATACGAGAGACTTCTGAGACTGCGGTGACCGTGCCCATTTCGGTGCCCGCTCCTCCAGAGCTTTCGAACCTTGAAAATTGGTCAAGAACCGAAGATAGACACAACAGCAAACCATGCCGCTCTTCAACTTTTCTTGTTGCCAATCCCTGGAGTCTGGCCAGCACCATATTGATAGATGTTTCAAAGAGATTGTTTGATACCGAATGTTCGCCCATCACTTTAGTGAGAACTCCAAACGCGACTCCGCAGTCTCTCCGAGACGGGGCATCCATATCACCGACGCCGCGCCAGCCTAGAATGCCATGAAGAAGAGAGTCGCCATATTGGCGGGCAAGCCGCGTCACATTCGAAGCTACCTGCTGGATAGCCCTCGAGCGTCTGGCGACAGCGTGGTAGTCTACAATCTGCACGACTGAGATGCCTTGCTCAACAGTGTCTGGGTGGCGGCCAATGAGCTCCTGCAGAGCGGCCGAGGAGCCGCGGCGGATGTTTCCAAAGGGGTCGAGACAGGCCGCGGTCACCAGCTCCGTGGCAAGGACTTGGATGATGGAGCTGTCCGGCGGGTGCGCCTTGGCTGCGAATACCGAGTGGGTTGGAACGGCGAGTAGTTCGGCGGTCGTGTAGCGACGAGCGATGGCCCAGACGCCAAAACATGCAGCATCGCGAACGTTGGCGCCGACGCTGGTGCCAGCCAGAGATCGCTGCTCAAAGGATAGTCCGAGTAGCAATGCGTGTATAATGTCCGACAGCTGCTTCGCGGGTGGTGAGCGCCGGTACAGAAGGTGGGAGAGCGTGAGGACTAGGCCATGCCACTCCAAATGGTTGACTGCCGACAAATCACGCATAGGTCGTGCGCCTTGTTTGATCTCTTCCTTGTTCCACAGCACATTGCGGTTGAGCGACTCAAGAACGGCCTCGACAACCTGGGAGGCCATGTCAGGGTCAAGCTTAAGAGTAATGACACTCAAAGATTTGCTTGCCGACATGCGCACAGGCGTGTCATTGTCCGACAGGCTGTCCAGCAGATATCCAATCGCAGTTTCCGTGATTTCCATGCTCTGCATGTCCTGTCTGCTGCCGCGCAAATACGTAACAACCACCGAGCGGATGACCTTGATGATCATCTTCCGCGCCAACGCCAGCGCATTGACAGCCTTGGATACATCAGTATCGTTTAGGGTGAGAGCATGCACGGCATTGAAGATCAAGGAGAGATGCGCGTCCAAGTCTGAAGTTTCAGACGACGAGCGCAAAACTCCAGCGAGAAAGGAAAGCACGCCCAGATAAAAGTAGGCCGGGCGCGGTTCGACGCCCTTTTGCGGACGGAGCGAGGTAATGCCCCAGTTGATCAGACTGTTCAGCACACCCAGAGTCTGCATGTCCTTGCGCATCGCCATTCGCACGAGCAGTGCCTTGGCGGCGTCGCGCTCTTTGCTGGCCGCGGCCAGGTACTTGATGGCCAGCGGCAGGATCCGCAGCGTGATGCCGGGCAGGTTCTCCTGCAGCTGCAGCCCGTCGATTCGCGGCACCGCGTCCTCCTCAAACTCGACCGAGGAAATGGTCGCCAGGTCAAACGGTGCAAACAGTAGATGCGAGAGCCACAGTAGCACAATGTACCTTTGCTCCCACTCCCATCCCTTTGCAGACGTGAACAGCGCGTCGCTGGGATCAAGCGCAGGCGCGCTGGCGGCTTGCGCCTCTGCCTCTTCGATGGAGGAGAGCAGCAGCTCGAGGTACTTGGCCTCGCCATTCAAGAAGCGCACAATGACCTTTTCGCCGCGCACCTTGCAAAATGTGTAGAGGATCTTGGCAATGGCAAAGGAGACGGGGACCAGGGCCTTGGACCTAGCGCTGCTGTCGCGTTTGCGACGCGGCGCGGTCAGATCTTCCAGATACGACTTGGCCAGAAACGGGATCCATTTGGGGAGATGCGGGTCGAGCAGCTGAGGGAGCTCTTGGAAGTTGTCAATCACCTGGTGAGTAGACGGGTCAGCGGACGGGCCATTTGGGGTATCTCAGCGTCTTGGGCCGCGAGACGACTAGATGGTAGAAACTTACGTCGCAGATGGCGGCAAATGCCTCTCGGGCGCGGACAAGAGATCTCACTCTTGTGCCGCTGCTGCCGTCAGGCTTGCGCAGATATGTGACCAGCGCCTTGTCGAGATCCGCAAGGAGATCGGTAGAGATTTTCTGGAGCTTATTGTCCAAGTCCTCGTCGGCGGCGTTCATCTTGCCAGCGAGAATGAGTCCGCTGAAGACTCTAAGCGCAAGCGGGCTTGATAATCAGTATCCCTCTCTGGCATGGAACTTGGCAGCCTGCAAGCCTCGTACCGCAACGCGGTGAGTAAACAGGCAGCAAAATTGTCCACGAGCTCTGTTCAAAACCGCCGCAGCAAAGTTCAACTGCCGCAGCCTGATATTGTTGGAGTCGTCTCCGGGTCCGAAATTGACCGCCACTTATCAACAGGCCTCCGTTCCCGTGAATCGGCCGTTAGGATGCTCGAGCAATGTATTGCTGGAAAGGCGAGGTTAAGGCTTGGCCAACGACGCCGTGATCCACTTTGATTGGGATGCGGGCAAGCCTGCTTGCACCATGGTACCGGCGAGTACAACATGAAAATCATGCAAAATGAAACGTATCGATAAGTTGTGCTTCTTTCTCTAACTCTAGAATGATTGAGGGTTATGGATAGTTGAGATCGACCTGGCCAAGTGCAGCGACCGAGGAAAGCATTGCCGTTGCCGTCGCCTTACACCATCAACCCAGCGACGGAGCAGAACATGATAGCAAACTTGACACACCGTGTTTTACAACTTTTCATTACTTGGAAGATAAATAGATATAACATGATTGAATACTTTCGCGCACTGTTGCCTCCAACTATGTCATCGTAATCGCTGCAACCAAAGCGTCCAGAGCACTGCTCTGTGTTGCGCTCGAAGCGTCAAAGTATGGGCCGGCCCAGGCGACACCGAGCTTGTTGGATCTGGGCTCGCGATCATTCTTCCAAATGGATTTTGCATTGTTCAAGATGAAAGTCTTGAACTGATCATCAGGAGCAACTGCCTGCAGATAAGCCAAGTTCCGAATGAAGATGCCCTTGAATTGCTGTCCATCCTGACCGCATCGACCAGGTTGGAATTCGCAACCTCCGACTTCTTCGAGGATGCCGTTCTTGTTGGATAATTTGTTAATAGCCGCCTTGGCGATTTTGGTGGCCGTTGTAAGGTGAGTCCTATCGCCAGTGGCGCGAGACAGCTCAACGAGGCCGCCGAGGATGACCCCCTGGTTGTACGTCCAAGTGGGCTGGCCGTTGTTTTTGCAATCGCCATCCAATCCGTCGTTGATGAGATTGTCCGAATTGATCATGCCGCTATTGAGAAACCAGTTCCATTGGTCCTGTGCTATCTCGAGATATTCAGGTACCGTCGGTATGCGGCCCGCGAGCGACGCGGCAACGCTAAGATAGAGCTCGTTTGCGATGGCATTGACATATTTTCGCTCCTTGCTCCAGTAGATTCCACCATTGCAAGGGCCGCCGAGGCCAGTCTGCATATCCTCGAATATAGTGACGGCAGCATTCAAGTACTTGTTGTTGTAGGTGGCATCGTAGGCACGGATGAGGGCAAGAGCCCACCAGCCTTCATCGTCGTAATATTCATTGAGAAAGTTTTTGAAGCCTCGCTTGGCGGGAGACCCGTCGCGCTTCGTGGCGCAAGCGCCCGCGCCGTTGATGCAGTAGTGGGATTCCATCATACCACCATTATCAAAGTTCATGTACTTTGTTGTCTGGACGTCGACAAGCTGGGCTCTCCTGAACGTGTTCTCAAGGTATTCGGTGGTTCCGATTGGTAGCGCAAAGAGTGCACCTATTCTGAGAAATTCGCTGAGGGTGGTGAAGGCGTTGCCGCTGTTCCACCAGAGCTCGCCCCATAGACCGGTATTGTTATTGTACCAGTTCCTGTTCAAACTGTTGACACCGAGTACGACACTTGGGCCGTATAGGAGAGAGCCAGGAAACAAATGGAGGGAGGCCGCTGCAGGCGTAGCAGACGTGTGCATCGCAAACCCCAAGAGGAGGCTTGCGGCCCAAGACGACAAGGACAACATCGTGAGGTTGTTACTGATACGAAAGAATAGCACAAGACCTCCATGGTTTGGGGGAATAGCCAAGGAAGATATATAAGTATAGAAAGTAGGGCTGATATGGAGTATGGGACATGTATGGGCGTGTGAGACAGGGAGGGTATGCATCGAGCACGACAATGCGGATTTGGTTGCACACTAGTACATTGCACTTTGACAGCATGACAGCGGCGACAATTTCAACCGCGCCCAGGACTATAGGTGGAGCAGATGGGCGTGTTGGAACAATGCAACAAGTTATTAAAGTCTGCTGACATGGAGCGTAGCCAATTGGCGCCATGCTCTCAGTGCTGCTGACGAGCGTCACCGGATGGACACATGGTGCAGAGTGCATGATCAAGTGTCCTTTGCCTGCATAGACGAGGATACGCTGCAGCGCTACTACCGTGCAACCGTGCAACTCCTACTGGAAATTCAGGAGAAGCAAGATCGAGCCGGCTGTGGAATGGCGAAAAAGAGGGTGTGGCGCGCGCATGAAGCGCGAAGACTAATTCGAAACTAGCTGGAGCCGGGGTGACAAATGTTGGCGATGACTTGTGACAGGGTCCCTAAGTTATTTGAGAAGTTCCAGTGAGTCGATAATCTGGTAGTAGTAATGTGTGGACGCAGGATGGTCGTCTTGTTGTCTGCATCTCTCATTGGACTATGCTCTGCAGTTCTGGACGGCTACCATGACGGACTTTCTGGCGGCGGGGCGCAGCGGGGGCCGACACGTTGTCAATCTGTCACTTGACGCCGGTCCCCAAGAGATTTGATGGTGATAGGGCGGCATGCAATGCAACGCGGTGGCGCATCATAGCTATTGTACAAGCTCGGGTTGGGACGGACGTCATCGCCAAGGTTGCGTTGGAAGATGAACAAAGGGAGCCAACAAGGGAGTCATTTTGGGCCTAGAGTCTCGAGAGACACATCGAAAGTGAAGCGCAGATCGTCTGTCGCGACCAAAGGCGGAACAAAAGCCAAGCTGGTTGGACAGGCATGCATGTGGTTGTGGGAAAGAATGGGTTTGTTAGCTATTGTGTTCAATGAGCTCGGGAGGAACCCATTTGGCAGTGATGGGCGGTGCCAGCTGGCAGCCACAGTGGCAATTGGCGAGGTGGGTGGCTAGTGCGCTGGCACCCAAATCTCGAGACATCAAAGGGCGATACCCGCCATCAAACCAGCATTCTCCGCACTCCTATTACCGCCACGATCCTTCTCTTGTCTCGCCAAAATTATTGTCTCGTAATGAAAATGCGTCTCAATATTCAAGCTGTCAGGTTCCTGGCCTCGGCCGAGTTACAGCCTTTACGTATGCACCCGCAGGTATCCATCTAGCTTCCGTGATCAGATCCATGGTATTTACCGAGTACGCCCATCTTGATACGATTCGAGACATGTGTCTACCCTCCCACAGTATCACAGCATGTCTCCGATACCAACGTTTATTCGCGAGAAAAGGCGCGTATCCGTTGTGAAACCTTTTGCGATGCGCATTGTTGTCTGTCACCACCAGAACAACCCAGCAGAAAGGAGCCCTGCGGTTTTTCTTGTTAGCTTGTGATCGGCATCCGTCCCGTGAATAATGATCGGCAGAGAGCGTGCCAACGCGACAACAATGGATGACGGCAATGAAATGCACGGTTTCATCATACCGCGACCTAATTCCCGCAGCATGCCCGACCATCTAACTGTTATTGCTGCTTGCCTGCGGCCACATCTCGCGGCTGCCACGCGACAAGTGTTTCCTCTCCACGCTTGCCCATTTACGCCAGCGACTCGAAGCTGATAGATGGCCCGAATTACCTGTTACTACTTACGGATAGTCACAGTCAAGATCTGGGCATCTAACGCTAGCTAGTTAGCCTCGCAAGGCTGCGAGCGATGGTCGCTTCCTGAGTATTCATGCACTACTGCCTAAGACTTGCGCGCTACATTTCACAGAACAGCAGTACATCCAACAAGGTGCGGATAACTTCATTCGCATTCAGTAAATATCACTCAGAAAGAAACGCATCCGTGCTCCTTGTCCTTGGCAAGCCGCTTCCTGGTAGCATGACGCGTCCCTGTTGATGGCCGGGCGCGCCAACTCCACTTCGGAACATTGCGAAGTGGGCTTTTGTTTCCGATGCCGCTCGAATCTGATGATCGTTCATCGCCAGATGCTCGCAGCTTAACTAGGAGAGACTTCAAGCAGTGACATCTACTGCTGTTGTTATGCTCTGCATGAGACGGTCTCCGATCGGCCGTTTTGAATAGCCTCCACGTTGCGAGTCTGCATAACGTGTTTCTGCAGATGCCTCTGATCTAGTAAAATTATAGGGCCGGCTATGGAGCCCCAACCCCCCGCGCCTCGAATAACATGGAGCCAGCCAGTAGGTAATTTGGTACCAAGCCAAGGTCCAAGGGCACCTTTGCGCGACGACCCGCCTGCTGGCGTAATGGGGACTGGGCGCAGTCGTTCGCCTGAAAATTGCTTGACAGTCTTACCACAAGGCAGCTGTGCTTCACGCTTCGTTTTAGCCAACTGCTCAGAATGGAGAGCCATAAAGCATCAGCGTTGCATTGATCTTCTGACAGACGGCCCTCTTCCCCATACCACCTGCAATGGCAGGCTCTCCCCACTCTCAGCAACTTTGCCTCGAGGCCTGAAAAGCCACAGATGCAAGCAGTGCATTGTGGCTGTCATTGACGTTGGCCGTTGCCAGTGTTGCAGCTCATCACTCATTAGCCCAATCAGTGGTACGGAGTACTATGATGGCTGATGGGCTGGTTGATGTCATCACTGGAGCTTGCCAGAATTGATTTGGCTTATTTGGAGTCTGGGTGACACCAACTTGCCGTATTTCGTCAAAAGGGGCCAAAGGTTGCCTAATTAACCTCGCATACTAGCAACGCGTTCATTTCCCAACGGCCAGTCACAGTCCAGCCTGTTTAGCTTCCTGTTTTTTTTTTTTTTTTTTTCAGATCATTACTTCTCCGCCCGATTTTGACACGTCAGAATACCTACGGGGCATCATGGGCCTTTCGCTGCGGGCACTGCCCTCCAAGCAGCCATACAAGTCATTGATTTACCTCATCGTTTGTACAAGCGTCTTCTTCGTCTTGTCGAGGTTGTATTTGACTTCCAACGAGGATTTGCTTACACTCGGCACCATCCAAGACTCGCCAGAGACACACGAGCTATGCGCTTCTCATGGCTTCACTGCATATCCCGCGACAGCCGCGGGCTCCCGTCGGAAAATTTACGACCTGACAATGATCAACACCGAACTCGATTGGCTCGAAATTCGTCTCGATGCGTTATACGACGAGGTTGACCTTTTCATCATCGTGGAATCGCCAAAGACATTCCACGGCCACTCGAAGCCTATGATAGCCAAGGACAACTGGGACCGCTTCGCCAAGTACCACAACAAGATGCTCTACCACGAGCTGGAATTCCCCAGCAGCTTCCATCCCCACCAGACATGGGATTTCGAATACCTGCAGCGTGATGCCAGCTACGAGCAAGTCTTTCCCAAACTCACCGGCGACCGCGCCCCGCGTCTCGGCGACGTGCTCGTCGTCGCCGACGTGGACGAAATACCACGACCCGACACGCTACGTACGCTGCGCGCCTGCAACTTCCCCCGACGCCTCACACTCTTCTCGCGCTTCTACTACTACTCGTTTCAGTTTCAGAGCATCGGACCCGAGTGGCACCATCCCCAGGCTACATTCTATGACGGCCAGCGGACGCTCACGCCCAACAACCTGCGCGCCGGTCGCGGTGGCAACTTCATCTCGCGGTGGCGCGAGTCGGGCAAGTATCCCAACTCGAGCTGGCACTGCAGCAGCTGCTTTGACTCGATGGAACTTTTCCTGAATAAAATGGCGAGCTTCTCCCACAAGTGGATGAATGGCGCGGAATACCGCGATCCCGAACGCATCGCCAACGCTGTGCGCGAGGGCGTCGATATCTGGGGCCGCAGGTCCAACAAGTTTGAGCGGATCGAGAATAACCAAGACTTGCCGGCGCTGGTGAGAGACGACCCGAGGTACGCCTACCTAAAAGATCGCAGCGGCGAATCGGCGGGTATGAAGGACTATCCGTGAGGGAAGATCTTGGTCAACCAATGGAGCAATGGAATGATGAAAAGGACCGCAATGGGAAAATAGGCGTTATCTTTAAGGGGGTATAAGCGTGCTGCTCGATTTCGGAAAAGCGACTGGAATTGAATGATTCGCGAATGATTGAAAGGCTTCGAATAATAATATAATACCATGCCTGGATTTGAATCATTTCGGCAAGATATATCTGGCCAGGAATCACGTTTTGCAAAATTTTCGTTGACTGTACATCTCGACTACCTTTGGCTACTAATGCTGTTCAGTCTAGGTCTGTTAAAGCTTTCAACTATCGAAAAGGTATATTTTGAATTTGAATATTCGAGTATAATAATCTATATGTAGAAGAAGCAAAAGGTATCAAGAGGGGCAAACGCCCCCGCAGACAGATATAAACTACCTAAGCAAAGAAAACCGACTTGGCAGGGCAAGCCATCCCAACGCAAGAGAGAGCTGAAGCTTGCTCGTCGCGATAAACACAGCCCTTGCAATATATACAGTAAAAGTAGGAAAGAAACAAATTTCCGGAATATTGCGCAAAAGAAGAAAGGCAGAAAAACAAAAGGTATCAGGGCTAAAGACGTGCCCGCGCTTCCACTCGCTCTACATCCAGCATCAAGATCGACTCGAGGCAATGCTCGGCGGGCCCTGCGCCTTGCGAACGGAAAACCTGGGCAGAATCGACGAAGACTTGTTCTTTTCGCTGCTTAGGCTGCTTACCCTTTGGGCGGCAGCAGGCGACAGCTCCTGCACCGTGTTTGTATCGAGAAACGCCTGGGGAAATATGCCCCATTTGCCCTTGGCATTTGTGCCGGACCAGCACCAATGTTCAGGATAGGGCCCTGTGGTTATTCCGCGTGTCAGTTGCATGTCCGTTTTACATTGTTGCTGAATTTTTTTTTTTTTTGAAGCATTGTCCGAGGACCCCACTTACAGCTTATGTTGGTGATGACTTCGTTCTTGTCAAACCTCAGCCACTCCGTCTTGTCCTTATCCTTGTGCGCAAACTTCCATCTTGCCTTGGCTCGGATGTGACTCGTCCCGTCCATGCGAATGTCGCGCGACGGAGGCGATTCCAGCCTCAGCGTCTCCAGAGGGACAGAGGCGTGCACGCCGTCGTACCAGCCCATGCACCACTCTCCATTGTACTTGGCTGGCCAGCTAAGACCAGTCACTTTGGAGCCGACCACGAGCTCGAGAGCAGGTGTGCGGTCTGCTAGCAGTCTCTGACCATACATCTTACGTGCAGGTTCTCGGGCCACGCCCACAGGCATCGCGGCTGTTTCTTGCTCGTGCTCCAGTGCGGGGTGCGGCACCGGCGGCTTCATAAAGTGCAGGTCGTAATCGTTGCGGTATTGTTCGGGCACGTTCGCCTGGTCAACGACGACGACGCCGGGCACCTCGGGTAGTGGTCTGGGATGGCGCGCGAGATGATTGAAGAGCGACTTGACGCTGAAGAAGACGGTGGCATCGCTGGGGTCCAGGGTTCGTCCTTGGCGAACGCAAAATACACAACCGTACAGAGTATCATCTGGGCGTTTGGTGTGAACATGGCTCTTTTGAAGGAATCGCAAGCGGTAGCCGACACCACCGTGTCGAAAGTTGCCACATTCCTGTTTCCCCAAGTCATTTTCAATGTCTTGGAAAGATAGCTCAAAGACACACCCGGTGCAGCGCGCCACTGTTGCTGTTCCAGTAAAGCCCACCGGCCTTCGTGTCTTCTTGACACCTAGACCACCAACCACAACCTCTTCGGCTCCGCTGCAAAATCCCTTGCAGAGATAAAAAGAGGAGTTGCTTCCAATCGAAGAATCTTTCTGTGACATGATTGGTGCCGGCCCTGAGGGTCGACGATCTGACTCTACCACGATGAGGCCGTCGTCCACGCTCTGAGTGGGCATCATCGGCGGGCGAATAGAATTCCCAGCAGTCTCTTGTGAATAATCTGATATGCGGACATTATTCAGATAAGGATCGAGGATGCTCTCTGCCACAGAGTTCGTCCTCGAACGACGCTGTGGAAGGCCGCCGAATGTGTCGCGATGTGTGTCGTGTTCGGGGGCACCGGAACCAGACTCTAGCGACACCTGGTGCGTGTGATGCGTCCAATTTGTAGGTTTAACGGATTTACCACTATCGGCGGCATGATTGTCATTGCCATCTTCCTCCTGGAACGGCTCGAGCTTTGTGTTAAGATGTAGCGGGCTCCGCTGTGGACTGTTCTGTTGGTAGCCATAATGCTGATGCGTGAGGCGGCGCCATTCTGCTTCGTCATAGGGATCGGTATCAGAGGCTCTTTGCTCTTGCCCAGAAGATAGGCCTATTGGACGACGTTGGAGTGTCGGGCTGAGCCTGCGCTGGCCAGAACTGGCTGGCGATGTTACCGAGTGGTAAGGCCGGCTGGGCAACGGAAGTGGCACGAGCGGTCGCCTTGGAACCGGCTCGCCTTCCGTCGTGACTCCAATCTCGTCGCTTGATCCGACAATGGTTGTGTCCCATGGGTCGGCCGAGGGTGGCCGCGGTGGCGGCGGCTGCTGAGGGGGCGGAGCTAGCTGAGAGGGGCTGACGACTGGCTCATCCTCTGGAGCTATCACGCTGCTAGGCTGTCGATCGCGGAAGTTTTCAAGCTCTTCATTAGCATAGTAGACGCTCTGAGTTGCGCGCCGCGGAGCGCCTGGTCCTGGGCTAGATGGTGCACCTGTCGCGCTTTGAACCGAGGAGCGTGGTGGTGTTGGTGGTATAGGAAAGCTTGGCGGGGGCATTGGCGAGGAGGGAGGGGAGAACTCGTTGAGATATGATTGTGGTGTGTGGTCTTTGGAGGGCAGCTTCATGCTGATTAAAACCTCGTAGATTTTGAGCGCAACCTCTCGTGTGAAGGCCTGGAGTTCGGTATACTTATCGGCCTCGAACTCGTCTTCCTCGACATATTCGTCGAAGCCGTATACCAGACGGCTCAGTGTCGCTCGAGGCTCTTTAATTTCTTCTAAAAGAATACATCAGCTCGGTATGGATCACCCATGGTGGGACGTTGGGAAATGGCCTACCATTTTCTCGCAGAGCATTGAGAAAGCTGTCGCCATATTCAGTGTGTCGCTTGGTACACTGGGGTTCGATTAGCTTGACGGCCTTTTCGCCTTCTCTGAGAAGCTTCTTCGCCGCTTTGCGCATGGACTCGTTTTCACCAGCATTTTCCAAGGCCGTTTTGGCCTCTTCAACGACATCGCAGAAGGGCTTCAGTGTTAGCACGTTGACCTCTTCGTTCATGGTGGCGGCGATGGCGCAGGCAGACTGCTGGGCGTAGGGTGTTTGCGTGTCAACTGCCTACGAGTCACAAGAATAAGGGGGCCGGCCTTTGACTACAGTCTTCCAGATTGAACACAGATCCTGCGTATCGTTAAGTCTGTGCGATATTCCTTCAGTGGCGCAAAGGTCGCGAGGACGACCCAGCGACCTTGGTATTGGTCGGCTGTTGCGCTGCAAGCCTTAAACAAAGGCGGCACGATTGCGGTGTGTTGGTGTAATGTAAAGGAAACGGGTCGCCGAGGAGTGCTTATGCAGAGCCAAGCGATATAGTCTGACCATTACAGGAGGAAGAAGTATGATGAGAAGATGGATGTGAGTGAGCCTGTGGTTTCTCGGCCGTCGCCCAGTATTTGGGAGCAGGGCGAACCGGGGACAGGCAATCAGCGAGACGGCATAATACAGACAAAGTGGTGGCTGCCACAGGCGACGCCTCGTGGGCACGCTAACGCAGCCGCACGCAAGACCGCATCCCCGGACACTGGTTGAGGTTGGCGGGCTGAAAATGTCTGCAGGCAAAAGCAGCGGAGCAGTGAGCAAGGGGCTGGCCTTTTGCCCACTATCACGCAGGAATCTATTGGTGCTGAACCGCTGACGGGCTGGCAATGGCATAGTGTGAGGCAGACCGAAGGATCGAAAGACCACCACAACCACCACCACCATGACCGTCAACGGGCTAATCGGTTCCGAGCCAGAACTAGAGCCAGCCTGCTACCCTTGATGCAGTAACCGACGACGCCCGTCTCTGGTTGATCGGAACCCCGAATCAGTGACGTACATGTCGCTGATGAGACAATCAAGAGCGATCGGAGGTGGCCACAGGCAGCCATAGTTACATGGTTCGCCCAAGTCGCGTGTGCAATTGGTGCCGCCCCGGGCGTTTCCGTTGAGAACAGACAGTGGACCGAAGCTGCGCTAGCCAGCGGTGCGTTCTAACCGTCTGGTGTTTAAATATTTCGCCTGTCCAATTCGCCCGTGTCCTTGCTCATCTTGGTTAGAGGCTGCCGTTCTTGCGAAGAACGTTCCTGTGAGATTTATCAGAGAACCGGGGCTGCAACACCAGAAGGGGCAGACCAGGAAGTTGCAAAAAATCGGAGAATCAATGAAGAATTGTAGTTCGGTATCTGAATGAATGCTAGCCTGGTGGCAGAGCAAGTAAATGGCCAACCTGAAGCAAGTTGCCAAAATGTGTAGTCGAGTGTTTGCCCTCGCCAAATCCCTCAAAGGCCCCAAGAAGAACAAGCTGCGGCGGGGCGGGGCGACGCTGGTCCCGCCCGAACCGGTACCGACCTGCCCCTGCCCCTCCCCCTCCCCAGAGTTCCCTCCATCACTTATAGCTTCATCCTTGACCACGTGCGTTCTGCTCTTGAAACGTCTCCTTATACCCAAGTAGCGGCCAAGATGCTTCCGCCCCTCTTTCCCTTTCGCATAATAATTTGTTGATCAAGATTGTGCTCAAACTAGTTCGTAGTTCCAACTATGGTTCGGACCTCCTTGCGGGTCAGCGTCGACTTATCGCCCCACCGGGATCATCATCATGGCTCGCCCCCTGGGCGGCTTGCAGGATCAGCGAGCCACCCTCATCCGCGAAGCGCCATGCCATTCAACAAAGAGCTGACGGAGAGTAATTTCATTTCGTGGATCGGATGGTGCTGTTGAGCATGCGACTCGAATTGCCGATCTCTTCTGTTTCCCCCTTCGTGGCACTGCAGCCTCGTCATCGCTTACACGCTCCGCAATATATGCTATGAATAATTTCTGCGACGTTTGATTATAGTTGGCCGCGCATGAATTCCTGATGCAGATGAGTCATAGTCTTGAATGATCGATTTTCATCTATTCACAATAACAAGATGGCGTGCTCTTCCAGGGATTGCACTGTTCGACCTAAAACCAGCGGTTACGTCCACAACCTCTCCTGTTTTTACCACCCGAACAAAATCATGCCCTGGGACTTGGCTCCGCGAGATTGGCTGGCTTGCCGGGTTTTTTGTCCTATCTCGGTCAGCGCGTGCTCGGCTACCTTTGTTGTGGCACCTCTCAACTTACAATCTGGGAAATGAACATGCGGCCAATATCAATGGTCTCTTGCATACCCTGCTGTCGCTGCCAAAAGCTAGAATTCACATTAGCCACAGCCTTCTAGAACTTGCTTTGATCATGACTCACATTTCTGCTGGCGAACTCTTGCCTTTAAGGGAAGTAAGGCGTGCCTCTTCCTCCAGAGCAGCTCTGGTAATCTTTTCCGACGTCTCGATACCAGGAGCCGCGGCTCGGCCAGCAACATCCTGTCCCAGATGGTCTTGCAGCAGACGACGCTTCATTAAGAATCGTTCTTTCCGTTCCTTTTGCAACCCAGGGCTCTCCAATTTATCCAAAACAGTGCGAACGACGATCTGCGCCAAAAAGTAAAAGTGCTCCACGAGCAAGATACTCAGCAAAAGACCCCATGCCGTAAAGTTGGAGGCGCTTCCACGCTCACCGTTCCTGTCCCTGCTGCACAGAAAGACGATTGCGGAGCTGGTGACACTGCCGAGCCATGACAGAACACCGAGAGTTTGCAACCATGGACCAATAGAATCAGCTCTCCACGGAACGGGTCGGCGGCAGCTCATGGCAATCTTGAGAGCATCGGAGCGAAGTTCGACCCAGTTGTTGACCAGGAAGCAGCATGGCGCCAACGGCCAAGCAACTGAGAAGAGATTCAGGTAGCCTTGGCGTTGTTAGTAATCAGTACCTAGATCAATCAGTAGCTGGTACTCACCGAATTGCATCACCATCTCGCGGTAATCTTCTGCAACGTCATAGACGACCATCTCGTATTCGTTGCGGACTCGCTTCATAAACTCAGTCTCTTCTGGGTTATCCTGAACAGCATCCTCACCCCGTTTCGCTTGTATCTCCTTGGCCTTGGCAAAGGCTCTCTGCTTAACATATGGAACGACCAGCTCAGTGGCCAAGTTGACAATTTGCGCCGTGACAGTAAAGTAGAACATTTGGGACGAAATACGCTGAGGGTTAATGTGAAATTCACGCGTGGCGAGTGGCGCTTTGCTAAAAGTGATAACCTGCGCAGTTCGTCTCCAAAAGTCGAGGGCGGGAATGAGAAGTTGGCCAAACGGTAGGTAGACGAACGTGGTGAAGAGCAGGGGCATGTAAGACGTCATAAAGTTGAGGACAAACTGCTTTTGAATCAAGGCTGCGTTGTATGCATCGACAGTGGCATAGTTTTCGCGATCCGTCAGTGCTTTGGCTGCAGTCATTAAGAGGGTGGATATAATGGGCGTGCAGACGACGAGAATGACTGTCGGGACAAAGGTGAGGTATTGCTTTCCAGGGCCGTTGTAAACTTCGTTGATGAAGATTTCGAGAGAGATGGCTGTAAGGGAAAGGCTACCGAGAGCAATGACGCATGCCAGAGCAAAGGGCACTTGAAGAATCTGAGTCTGGAGTCTCTTCATGGGAGGGTAGACACGAAGCGCTTCGCCGGTGACGGGATCTTCCTTTTCATATTCCCACTGGTATTCGGGGCGCGGCTGCTGGATTTCTGAGACGCGTCGCACACCCCATTGAACAGCAAGATCGAGCTCCTTCTTCTTCCAGTACTCAAAGAAGATGACGGACCAGAGACAGGTGGCAACAGCATAGATCATGGAGAATTGGCCCAAACACAACCAAGCGCTGAAACCAATTGCAGAAGGTACAACCAGGAAGCGCAGGTACGACCGCAGAAATACAAAGTACAAGGTGATGTTTTCGCCAAATTTCTCGCGAATGTCGTAAATGTCGGATTCTTCGAGGAGGTATTTGCCGCTCCAGTTGGAGATCCACTGCTTGTTGAAGGCGCGATTGTGGAGGGGGAAAATGGCATCGACATACTTCCATTTGCCAGCGTTTTCTGTGATTCCAGCGCCCCCTTCGTTCTCTGGCTTGATCATCATGAGGTATACGAGTCGCAGGCGCTCAGCCTCGGTCACGGGTTCGCTTTCGAGCGTCTTGGCGACATCGTGGTTGGGGGTGGTGGATCGAATGCCGTGCAGCCAGTCTTGCAGCCTGGCCCTGTAAATTTGCTTTTGAAGTAGCTCGGTTGAGGCGATCTTGACAAAGACGTAAAGGGAGTCCTTGCTGGCGCGTCGCACCTCGCTGGCGAGCCCCACGGCGGTTAGGGCCTTGATGAGCTCGACGTAGCCAGCTTCGGCCTCTGCTTTTTCTACGACAATATTAGCCAAATGGTCCGAGTGGGATATATTGCGCGTGAATCGCACCTTTGGCGGGAACTTTATAGTGAACGACATAGTCGACGCTGTTTTTGGGGAGGAACAGTTAGCGCAACTGTCAGTAAGCAGGCAACAGATGGCTGAGAGGAGACGATACCCATTGTTGTCGTCGACACTGCCGTCATTTTTGGGAGAAGCCATTGCGGTCGCGGTGGTTTCCATCATGGGCCAAATATGGACATGAAGAAGTGAAGATGAGGGGAACGAGACAGTGATTTAAGGTCGAAGCGAAATGACGTGGTGGAGGGAGCTACGGACAGGGGGGGACAGCTGGAGATGGGAGCTGTTGTGGAGTTTGTTTCAGCTGCACGCATCTCAAATATATCGGACAAGACAAGATGACAAGAGCACATGGAATTATAAGATATGTCAGTAGAAACAGCGTGAATACTAGATATTCGAATTTTTGGCCATGCCCATGCGGAGAATATTGATTCAAGTCCCAGGCAAAGAGGCCTGGCCAGCCATCATGACGCTGCGACTGAATTTCTAGGTAGGTAAGGTAGCAGGTAGGTACCTAACTACACACTGTAGCACCAGGTAGCTGAGGGCGAAACCTTGGTCTTGGTGCTTGTGTGGGGCGCCAACAGAGCTGAGATGGCTGCAACCCTGGCAGGCGACAGGGTAGCCAGCCAGGTGCCAGCCACTGAGCGCATCAGATACTTGCACCGCCTCTCTGTTGAAACTGTTGACTGCTCATGACTGGGCAGCTTTCGAAGAAGCAGACAATATTTTATAAAGGGCCAGGGACGCAGGATCGCGGTAAGCTGAGCGTAACCCTCACGCTCCAGGGACGCCACAGTGTACAAAGTGATGGGTGCTCTCTCCTCTAACCAAGACGATCGCCACCAGGGCAGCCACACCAGCTATTGGGTGCGCCACACTTGGTTCTACCTTGATCCGCGATTTAGAGCTCATAGTTGATTAACTCGAAAACGGCGGCTAAGCTTGTGGAGGCAGAGGTGACAAGAGAATCGTCAAACAAGTGTCAAAAAAGGACCTGTGATGAGTAATTCGAATGATCGCTTCGCCCAAAGAGGAAGCCGGCAATAGAACAACACTTGCGATTGTTTCACGAAAGCATTAGCTACTCGGTAGCTATGTTCATTCCCGTGCCTACTGTGTTGGTTTTGCCGAGCTTAAAACGTTATGAATTTTCCTTTGCAAATTTACTTGATGAAAAAAATTGGGCGCGATATGCTAATTACTTTTCCCTGGAGCACCTGTATGAGATCATCTTTCCTTGGCATCCCCTCACGCGATCGGCCGAGTGGATAGTTAAGGCGGGCTGCATGCAAGTGCCTACGCCTACGAATAAAAAGAGTCTGTGTCGGTTTGACCAGAAATCAGAAAGACTGCTTGACATCCACAGACCGAGTATACGCGAGGCAGGGCAAGACAAACCCCCTGCATCTTCTTCACCTCAGTCCTTCTGCTTTGTCAGTTGTCAGAATTGACGCACCACGAGGTGCTTTCCTTTGGAATCAAGGTTAACCTGAAAGAGGACAGCCTAGATAGGCACCGACGGAATGGCCTGTTGTCGGAGGAACGACACGACGGCGACCAGGGGGTAGACGCCGTCGAAAATTCCTGTCTTTACTGGCGCTGTGTAGAACGATCCACATTCTCATGCTCACAGTTGAGGCTTCCTTAGTCAAGGAGACATCTACATGGCAAAGAGGGGAAAGAAGACAGTACGCAACTCAGTACGATGGGAGATCTTTGGAGCCTCCGAGCTCAGCGTGGCCCACCTCAAAACACACCCACTATTACGTCTCTTCTTTCTTTGTTCCGAGACTATACAGATGAGATAGCGGGACTACTGTCGAGACTTGATTTGAAGAGTACATTGGTTTAAGTGGATTGTGTTGCCACGCTAACTTTTAGTAAAATGGCCGACCGCAATACTACCTTCCTGTCTTATGTACAACTGTGACTTTGCAATTGGGTTTCCACCCTACGAATACGAAGATACAGACAAGTTCATCCATTTACTAAATCTCAGCTCATCAAAAGGTCTGACTTGAGCAAGTACCACGCCAGACTACTGAACCCGGAGCTATCACGAAGTTGACCAACTGCCACCAATGATCCGATCATCCCCGGCCATCCTTGCTCGAAATAGGCAAGAGCTCCTTTACATCGATATCGGTTTTTTACAGATGCCAAGTCTGCTATCGAGCGGACCGCATTTTCGCGGGGCAAAACTGGAACGTTTGTGCCGGTAGCCGTTTGTTGTGCCACCTTCTTGATCCAGACAGTTTTATCCATCATGCATTCATGGTATTGCCTCGCCCATAATCTTCCTCCGTTGCTAGTCTGCACCCCGCCGGGCCGAGTACGTCAGACCTCCGTAGGCGGCATCATCTTCTATGGGAGTTGCCGTGAGCAGATGCGGGTCATCGGCTCTTTAAATCAGCAGACAGGAAGCCGCGCGACTATAAAGCCGAGGCTACGCCTCCGTTCCATGTATTAAATCCCTGCAAGAATATTGTCGCACTCTCCCATACAATTTCGGCACCTGTGGCAATGTATGCTTCTCTACTGCCTCTTTTGGCCGCTCTGGCGGCCGCCTCTCCAGCAAACCTTCAGATGACCCTGAAGCAGTCGCTTCCCACGATCCCTCAGGGCTGGCAGGTCCATTCGGATGCTCCCGCCGACCAGAAGATCAATTTGCACATTGGTCTCAAGGAACAGAACATGGACCAGCTGCAGAAGCGTCTGCTGGAAATGAGCCACCCTGATCACGCCGATTACGGCAAGCACATGAGCAAGGCAGAAATTGATGCCCTGACGGCCCCTACCCAGGGGACTGTTGAGTCTGTCACCTCGTGGCTGTCTTCCCACGGGATCGAAGCGGGTGAAGTCTCCAACGGCCTGATGCCCGTAACGGTCAGCATCTCTCAAGCTGAGAAGATGCTTGGCACCAAATACCACGTTTACCACCATGCTGCCGAGGACAAGTACACAATCCGTACTACCCAGTACAGCCTTCCTCAGGCTGTACACTCCGAGGTCAACATGATCCAGCCCACCACCATGTTCAGCGACATGGGCATGATCAACCGTCAGCTCACCGCTTCCAAATCCGCTCGCAGCAAGTCTCCCAAGGCTCCCAAGTCCAAGCGGGCTCAGTGTGGTGGCTCTGTCAACCCTGCCTGTCTGCGAAGCTTGTACAACATCAACTACACTCCCAGCAGCAGCAAGTCCCTTCTCGGTGTTGCCGGCTACCTTGAGGAAGTGGCCAGTCAAGATGACTTGAGCAGCTTCCTTCAGGAGCAGAACATTAAAAACGCCGGCAAGTTGTCTGTTGAGCTCGTGAATGGCGGTACCAACGACGGTGATGGCACCCTTGAAGCCGATCTTGATATCGAGTAAGTGAACAGTCCTAGACAATGACGAAAGATTATCTTTTAATGAAGACAATCAAGATATACCGTTGGATTGAGTGCTGGCATTGAAAACGTCTTTTATTCGACTGGCGGCCGCCCTCCGTGGAAGCCGGACTCTGGCAGCAACCCCAACAACAACACCAACGAGCCCTACCTGGACTGGCTAAACTACATTCTCGCCAAGTCTAGTCTTCCTCAAACTATCACTTCTTCTTATGGTGATGATGAGCAGACTGTCCCCAAGGACTATGCGGACAATGTCTGTAACCTCTTCATGAAGCTTGGCGCTCGTGGTGTCAGCTTCATGTGTAGCTCTGGTGATGGTGGTGTCTCGGGTGGCCAGCCTACCAACTGCCAAGCCAACGATGGATCTGGCAAGCGGAAGTTTCTTCCCACCTGTGAGTGAAATTACTTTTTTGACTATTGTACTACGTTTTGTTAACCTCGATTGGATAGTCCCCGCCAGCTGCCCCTGGGTCACTGCCGTTGGTGGCACTACTGGTTCTCCCGAGACTGCCGCCAGTCTTTCGTCGGGTGGTTTCTCCGAGTACTACCCTGCCCCTAACTATCAGACAAATTCTACATCTAGCTACCTGTCTCGCATTGGCAAGCAGTACTCTGGACTATACAACCCCAAGGGACGTGGTATCCCTGATGTTGCCGCTCAGGCCGAGTACTTTGAGATTGTCACGAGCGGTTATGACGAACACGCCAGCGGTACCAGCGCAGCTTCTCCCACTTTTGCTGCTGTTATTGCACTCTTGAACGACTACCGCATGTCGCAAGGCCGTGCTCCTCTGGGATTCCTCAACCCCTGGTTATACAGCAAGGCAACTTCCGGCCTCAACGACATCACCTCGGGCTCCAACCCAGGATGCAATACGAATGGTTTCTCTGCTTCTAGTGGCTGGGATCCCGTCACCGGCCTGGGTACCCCCAACTTTGGCAAACTCAAGCAGACTGTCTAAGATATTGATTATGACTCGATATTTTGCATGATGCAGCAGGATATGCAAAGCTAAGCGCAGAATTGTCATCTGCAGTACATATTTGAACATATTTATATATATTGGCTTTTCTGTTCCAGTTCTTTGACCAAATTATTTTCGAAATGGAGTTGGACTACGGATATGTAATCCATGTCCGGAAATCGGAGACTGGCTCTTACCCTGTTTCGCGTATACTCGGTCTGTGGATGTCAGCATAGTACCAAAAACCAATCAATGAGAAAATATCAAATACGATGATATTGGGTTGGCGGCTTTTTGCCTGGTGAAAAGAAACAAGATGGTGCCAAGCAAGACGTGTATAAGCGGTGGTGGCTGAAGTACCTGTTTGGTCAGGCAATGCGTGGCGTGCCACGAGTTTTCTAGCAACTCTGACGCGATGATAGAGATATACTGAACAGCCAAAATTTGCCCACAAATTTCCCAGCCCCATTATAGAAAATTGCCAACGTGGGTGACGCCACTGGCTGAGCATCTCCGATCTACAGGGCGCTGCACACTATCGCTCCACTGTGACGACTGCTAAAAGGGTACATTCGCCTGCACGTCACAGCAGTGTCAAAACAAGTACCTCCCGACTCACCTCGCCTCCAGCCAGTACCGTAGCTCGAATTCACCCACGAATTGCTTCATCAACTACCTCTTCGCGACAACTGCTTCATCCCTTTCAATCTACGTCCGGCCCGTCTCAACAGGCCACGGAACCAGCCCTCGCCCCAGCAGATGGGTCTGCTGCAAGCCCTCGGTCTGCGGCGCTCCTCGCAGTGGCAGCGCCTCACCGTGCTCGACCACCTGCTCCTCTCGCCGCTCACCTTTCTCGCCATCCACCTCTACCACGTCCTCGTCTGGCTGCGAGGGCGACCCTTGCGCAAGCCGCGCGGCAAGGCGCCCGTGCGCGTCGTGTGCATCTCGGACACGCACGACCTGACCGTCGACGTGCCCGACGGGGACATCCTGGTCCACGCGGGCGACCTCACCAACGCGGGCACCGCGGCCGACATCCAGAAGCAGCTCGACTGGCTCGCGGGTTTTGCGCACCCGGTTAAAATTGTGGTCGCGGGTAACCATGATTCGTACTTTGATCGCCGGGCGCGCCGGGACGAGGACGTGCGCAGCAAGGCCAAGCTGCGGCTGGGGGAGATCCTGTATCTGCAGGGCGACATGACGGTGCAAGAAGTCAATGGGCGAAAGATTAGCATCTTTGGCGCGGGCGATGTGCCTGAATGCGGGCCAAAAGAGTTTGCGTATGTTTTTTTTTTATCGGGAATTTGGAATAAGCAGGGGGGCGCTTCCTTGTTGCTGACTTGGAACAGATTCCAATATACTCCCGTGACGCAGCCATGGTACAATAGAGTACCACCTCAGACAGATATCCTTGTTACTCATACCCCGCCAGTATGTATTTGATGCCCCCCAACCCAATCTAAAAGCATAATTCTAAATGGCCGGCCTGCAGAAACACCATCTCGACCTTGACCTTGGCTGCCCACATCTGCTCCGCGAAGTATGGCGTGTAAAGCCACGTCTGCACGTCTTTGGCCACTGTCACTGGGCCTATGGACAGGAATCCATCTACTTTGACGAAATGCAGACCGCGTACGAGACGCTTCTCTCGCGCCCTCGCCGGGGCCCCATTATGGATTTCGTTCCGAACCGCTCCTGGATGTACATGTGGCAAATCGTCTACTACGGCATCCGAGGGGTTGTCTGGAAGTGGCTCATGATGGGCGGTCCCAGAGACAATCAGGGCGGCAGCATCATGGTCAACGCTGCGCAAATGTACGGCGATACCGGCCGCATCAAGTCGCGTGCGGTTGTGGTGGATATTTAACGCATGGGGGCAACATGTACATATCAGACTCTCTCTCTCTCTCTCTCTCTCTCTCTCTCTCTCTCTCTA